GTCGTCGTGCACAAGCATGTTGAATTCGGGGCCATGGAAATCAATGGTCGGGATATCATCGGCCACTAACAGAGTCGGAGGCGGGGCTGGCTTGATGCCGGTCATCGATCGCAGCGGCGGCGGGGCATATGTCCGCGGGTTACCAAGCGCAGCCAAAACCATCTTCACCGTCGGCTTGCTGCTCAACGCCGTCTCGGGGAACGGTAGCGGTGGGTGGCACGTCGATGTGGACTTGCGTGCAATGCGCTTACACCCCTTCTGCATCAGAATGTATCCGTCAATGGTCTCAGCCATATTATACCGATGGCCGATGGCCATGGCTGCCTTTTCAAACACAACATCGATCTTGTCGTACGTGCTGTTGCGTCTGACCCCCTGCTGCGCACCGAGCTCTGCGCACTTTGCCTTACGTGGGAGTCGGAAGTTGATCGCACAGACATCCATCGACAGGAGCGGCTGCCAGTTTGTGCGGTGGAGCCGACCGAAGGGCGTCGACGAACCATACAGAGTCATCAGGGGGCCCTTTATCGCAATCACTGTATCATTATCGGTGCCCTTGGTCGACTTTTGCATCGTCAGCTGGGCCTTAGGCACCTTGAGCTTGAGACGCGGGCTCTCGTGCTTGCCCACGTTCTCGTTATCTTCGTCAAGACCCACCGGCAGACTCTCCAGCAGGCCTTTGTCGAGGTCACAGAATATGGGCGACACCAGGTCTCCATTCAAGTGAAGCACTTCTGTGTTTATAGAGACCAGCATGTCGTCGGGCGGCGACGGCGGCTCCACTTGCGTAGCCATCCGGAGCGCCAGCTTTTTCCGCCGATGCCAGTACTTCAAGTGATGCATAAACACCGCCCACCGGTACACGGAGCTGACGCTAGCCTCGCCGCGGAACTCGGTGGTTGTCAAATCGATAATCATACGACTGCGGTGCGGCGCCAGCTTGCAACTTGAAAAGTTGAACACAGGCTTCAGCAGCACAATATGCGACTGCACTGAGTCAGGTAGGGATCCACACAGATCGGCAGAGCAAAAATCGTCCGGCACCAGCTGGTCAGCAATATCATCCCGCGCCATAGCCGGCGGCACGGCTGACAGCATAAACATTTTGGCACGATCGCAGTCGAGATTCAGCGTAATTCTGGCTGCATCGGGTCGGAACCCAAACTGGTGTGGTGAAGACAGCGATCCGCCATTGGCACGCACATCGAGGTGGCCAGAGCTGAAGCTGAACTGAGTCCCATGCTCGATGCCGCTGCGCACATCCTCCTCGTTATCGCATGCCAGGACCGTCCACCGCACATGCTTGAACGCAACACGCAGTGTACCTGTCATGTTACGCCGCCGCTGCTCAATCGGAGGCATCGCGTACTTGCCCTCGCCGTCGCCAGCCCTGGCCTCTGCAGGCTCTGGCTCGCCGGTGTTATAGCTCAGGCCAGCGAGTCGCGTGAGTCGCGTCACTAACCACAAAGGCTGCATGGCTAGCCACTTGTTGAAGTCGTATTCACGCAGCATAGCTGCCACTGTACTCAGCTTGAGGTCAATGTCAGCATCCACACGCGGTCGCAGCGACAGGTCAGCAGCTGGTCCTAGATGCAGGTCCACCGTGCCATTGCCATGAATGCCGTGAGTGACCTTGAACAAGCGCCGCTTTGGCTGATGAGCTCTCTCCTTTTCCTCTTCCTCGGCCACCCCACCCTGCCTTGGCTGGCTGAGTGACTCCCACGCAGCAGATATCGGGCTGGTCTCAATGCTGAAGCAGATGTGGGGCATTAAAACCAACAGCGGATCAACCAAGGGCTGGGTTTGCCTGGATGTTGGCGGTGTCTCCGCAGCCTGGCTCGGGTGCCGGCTCAGGGTATCCTTGCCTGTTGCAAAGCTCTCGTCACCGCTGCTGTCTGAGGAATCGACATCATCTTGCTGGTAGTGGCTCTGTGGATCAAGCAGGTTGCCCATGACTTGCATCCGGACACTCGGCACACGGAACACAATTGCCTCATCCCTGTCTTTGCTCTTGGCTGTTGTAGCATGCGGCACAAACGGACGTATACCGTAGACAGCATGGTCAACAAAAATGCGAGCCTGCACATCGGCAAACACCATGTTGGCAAGCGCATGCATGTGCAGGCTCGTCCGGTGCCCATTGCGAGTGGTGTCCTGTTCAGAATGGCTGCTGAACCCCTGCTTGACAATCTTGGCACGATGCACTATATGTGCAAACCACGCTTTGGTCTCGTCGACGGCCAGCTGCGTACGCAAGTCCATCGAGAGCTCGGGACGATCCAGCTTGATCTCGAAAGTGGGTTGCGGGCTCGGCATGTGTGACAGATCTTCAGACAAAAACGCCGACATTTCACCACTCACTGCCAGCTTGCGCAGCTTGAATCCAGGGCATTCAGGAAGCAGCTCTTCGGCCCGCCTGTCGGTGGTCATTGAGGGGGTGCGTAGGGCTGTGGCTTGCACGGTGCCAGTCGACAATTTGAAAAACGCCGTCGAGTCCTTCGATGGCCGTGTCTCGTGCCCAGCAAACTCGTCCCGCAACGCCTGCATACTGGCTGTGCTTTCAGTCCACACCGAATGCAGATCGTCACCACTGCTCGATCGCGAGTCTGCCGCAGACTCTGAGTACTGCGACATGCTGGTTGTTGACGCCTTGCCATCGCTAATGGCTGCCCACGAGTACCCAGCTGCCACCACCAAGTGCTTCTGCCGCCACCGCAGCATGCCTGGCGCAGTGATAACCAGGCTCTCGCCGCGGGTGTCCTTGGCCAGCGGCAGGTCAAACACGATCTCAGAGGCTGTCGCCTTGACAGTATACCGCTCGAGCCTCAGCTTGCTCAGCAGTTCATGGAGCTTGAACAGCATGTGGTTGACGTGCTCGCGAGCGTGGCTCACGTCATGGCTAGCTCCACTCGCTGCCTTCACTCTGGCCACAGCTGCTGCCGCTACATCCGCCAACGTCGGCACGCGCTGGCTTTTCGGCGGCGGTGTCTCTGCTGGCTTTCTGTGATCATTGCGATACTGCCTGATAATACTGGTTAATTGCGACCGCACAGCACCCATGCTGCGCAGGCTGCTGTCCTGCGAGGTTCGCGCAGTAGACACTAGAGCCATCAAGATTAGCTCGTCGAGCAGCGGCTCGATGATACCAGCGCGGATGTGCGTCTGTCCAAAAGCGATCGTATGGCTAACGCGCTTGGGCAGGCCCCAGAAGGATGTTATGACGTCGTTGCGGATCGTGCATGACCGGCAATTGAGCGCAGGCCCACGCTCATGCGGCTTGCCGTTATCAGCGCCTTTGGCCGGCAACATATCTTGCATGACCATCATCTTGACCAGTTCCCATCGCGAATTCATGTGCGTCTGAGCGCCCTCAATGCCGGGCAGCAGTCTGATATCGCGAATCGCTACAGCCAGGGTTGAGTTATATGTGGCGCCCTTGTCACGCCGCTGGCCCGGACGAGCAGCAACCGACGGCACATTCTCCAGGTCACTGTCGTCACCACCAGCATTCTCAGCCTGCTCGGCGCCGACAGCTTCAGATTCTTGGCGCCTGCGGGATTTCAAGGCGCGGACCAGCCAGTCGATAATGTTCCTGACTAGCTCGGCAATTCCGCTCGGAATACTGCCTAAAGAGTTCTCGCGTTTCGTTTCTGCCCACACCATGACATTCGACACGTGCAGCGTGATGCCATGCCCAGCACGCGCCAGCTCATTGCTGTGAACCACCATCAGACTTACGTCTGTAACCGAGATGTCGACCCAGTGCGCGAACAACGACGCAAAATAGGCATACGTGCGCAGAGCCGCGGATATTCGACCAGCCAACTTCGCCGCCATCTGCCGTGTCTCGCTATCAAGGACATGCACATTCTCCCTGTCCATTGGCTTATCTTTGTTTGCAGGCTCTTCGGCCTCATCAGCCTTGTCAAGCCAAAATGGCTGCTCGCTCTGACTCGGCCCGATCAGCCCTGGTGCCTGTACAACAAGCTGCACTCGGATCCCCCGCGCATACACCTGCAACCGCTTTGATAGCCCATTGGGCACCCCATCGCTGCTGAGCTCTACCGTGTTGCCGCTGGTACTTGACGAGTTCGGCGGCTGCGACATATCCACTGACGGTCGTGGTGTAACATCTGTTGATGGCACAGGTGTCTGCTCGCCACTCGTTGCCGCCGACACACTGGTTCTTCTCGATGAGCCTATACGCATCCGCAACCTGGTCCACACGTCTCTGACACTCCTGCGCAACCGCCTCATGGTGCGGATATCAATACCAACCTTGTCAATGTGGATCACCAACTCCATAGAATACTTGACGCGCATCGACAACACCAACCCCGAGAATCCGGTCCCGTCAAAACTCCGCGCGTCTAGGCCAAACCGCGCCAAAAACAGCCGGATCGGAAAGCTGGCAAGAAAGTGCAAGATACGGAGTCCCGCAAAGTACACCCCCAGGCTGAGGACATAGGGGTGCAAAAAGAGTGTCAGTGCGAGCTCGGGCACCCACGGCTGCCGCAGTGTCTCGCGAATGAAAGACCTGTCGTCTATGAACCGCCGTGGTACCGGTAGTAGTATCGAGGTAACCACCACCAGAAACGATACGAATAACGGCGGTGACCTCATTAGCCCCTTTTACTATGAATGTTTGTTGAAATGTTCTGTTGCTTTACCAGCTGCAAGAGCAAGAATGCGGAGTGTGAAACAACTGAATTGGAGGTGCAATAAAAAAGTAGTGATTTTGAATGAGAAAAGGAAAATCAAAGTAGAGGCGGAAAGGCTGTTTAAAAGCTCAATTGTTTGTGGAGCCCTTTCGTCACTTGCGCATTTCTCAGAGCAAAATGCACACCATGAGCAATGGCATTGGCTAGGTTTTCAGGCAATGCTCAGGTAAACAGAAACAGCAGGCTCGTAAACAATGTGTTCCCAAAACCGATTTACGCATCGCCTCGGATTGCTGCAACGAACCCAATCTGGGTTTTCTCCCCGCAAACCCCAGCCCTCACCTTTTGTCGACAATGCACTGCACTCTTCGCCTCGCTACTATTGCTGCTACAAAGCCGCCCCCGCTGTCCTTCCAGCAATTTATCCAGCGCGGCAAGGTCATCGCTATGTACCGCAAGTATATGCGGCTAACCAAGCGAATTCCAGACAAGAACGACAAACGTGAGATGCGCCAGTGGATTCGCGGCGATTTTGACCGTTACAGGTCAGAGACAGACGCTCAGAAAATCGAAGTACTGCTGGCCCAGGCCACACGTCAGTACAAGGAAATGGAATCAGGGATGTTCTCCATGCTGTGATACAGTAAAAGCGCATTAGAATATATAGGAATCGCATGCTTTGAAGACCTTGTATGCCTTGCTAGAATGTATCTACTTCATAATCTCATTCGATACTAGTTGGTTTGGAGCTATATTATTTCTCGAGAATCAGTAAGAGAGGCAGGGCCAGGTCTTGCTGCTTCTCCTAGGTATCAGCTCTGGCAGCCTCTGTTGGAAGTAGCTTGTCAGATCTCTCCGATGGGTATAGGATATCCTCAAATGCCAATGCGCGAGAGTCATCATCGCGATGTCACGCAGCGCCACTGCGTCTAGCCCGAAAGCAGGTGCTGCCACTATAGCAGCTGGTTTCCGGCTGCACAAGCGTAATGGAACAGATATCAGCATGAGACTGCGGGCTTTATGATGTGTTCTAGCCAGTAGTCACTTCATACGCTTGGAATGTTTCATAGAAGCGAGACTACACCCAAGGTCAATTCTGAGCGAGCCTTGCGCTCTGTGCCCATCTACGTATGATAGGTAATTGATTTTCAATATTCGAAATGAACAGGACATATTTAGAACCCACTTTATTTTTTGTTCACATGCACTTGGGAAACGCCTGCTTGTTTGACGGGGCCATGGCAAGCTTGATCTCGGTATTGCAACGCTGCATCCGCCCTTCCGAAACCTTGCAACCAGCCTTATTCCACCTGGGCAGCTCGCTGGCAATAACCTTGGTCGGATTCTCGCCAGCGCTCAGGCGTCTGGCCAGGGTCGAGGACTGGGCGCCACTGCAGCCAATGTTGAACACCCACGACACAAGCGCGCCTCACTGGTTCTGGTTGAGCTTGGCCTTGCCATTTAAATACTTGCCCAAGCACGTGTACTTGGGGATGTCGGATCTGGGCAGTGCCTCACCATTTGCCTTGGTCAGCGGGTGTTGGGATCTCAAGATCCGATTACTGTGAGCCACATGGCTTTTCATCCCGCTGTTTCCTCTTTCTTTTTATTCTCACTTCCTTTTTAGCTGTGCCACCCGAAGGAGGGTATAAAGCCTTTGCGCTCGCCTTTCTCTCTTCTTTTCTCTTTAGCCTGTACACACCACTATAATCTTTGACTCTGGCACCTTCTGTTGGTATCACGCTCACACTACTAGCGCGTTTCTGGACTGAGGTATCACCGCTTTACGGCTCATTCGGAATCCGCGCTGCACGAAAAATACACACATTCACATATCAGGTATTTTTCGTTATTTACCTTGTGCCTTTACCTTGTGCCTTTACCTTTCTCGCCCCACACCACCCACCGTGCACTCTAGACTTACAGCACCCATATAACCGTTGACAAGGTGGGCAGCCTTGAAAGAGGATATGGTAGGAGAAAAATAGTATTTACATTTCTGAACAGGAAGTGTATATATGATATAGCAGTTTGCAGTACTGCTTGAGATAGCGAAACCATGAAACAGACATGAATGCAGATCACCAACCACAGGTTCTAAATGGTATATACGTGTAGATATGAAGACATTGCGTAAATCAGTATAGATGAGAGCGTCTGTAGGGGCATTTCCAGCCTTCACAGCACCGAAAACGACGATAAAGAGTAGAGTAGTGATATGGAAGGATCACCCGTATGTTTATGGATATTTTAATTTCGCAGTAATCTGTCATGTCGTAATCGGTCCACAGTTGGACCACGACAATGGTTACACATCAAGGGGTTTTATTTGTCTTCCTTTTTTTCTTTTACTTCTCTTCTCTTCTTCGTCACATGCCGCTGTTCCGCTATCAGGACGGACTGCCCCTGACTATCGCCGGTCAAGTTGTCGCCCACGAATGGATTCGCGGCGATGTACCTGGCTCGCGACGTCCACCAACAGATGGCCGCTGATGTGTATACATCGGGTCTATACGGAAATGGGAACACTGTCCCGTGGTCGCCCGGCAGCCGATAGCAGCAAGTAGCATACTCCGTTTGCCGAAGTCCATCCCGCCGAACGTGTATAAATACAGCCATGAGCAGTGAGCAACTTTTAGTTTTATTGTCTACTTTTTAGTATATGATCTCGTTAAGGAACAGTTCACTGAGTTATATTTCTATTTAGTTTTCCAAAAGATAGTTAGGACCGTTACTGTCGAAGTAGTAGATTACCTCGCAGATTTCCACGAACGAGAGAAAAGAGCTTGGTAGTTTACTATTTCACTAGGATATCTGAATTTCCCGCGATTATTATTATTATTATTATCATTATTATTATTACCGTTTATTCACGGATATTCGATTCAAGCAAGACCAACGACTACAATGTCCTTCATGACCGACCCAGACAGTGCTGGTGATCGACTCACTGATCAAGCCTCTCCTTCACCCCTTTTAAACACCACAAATCAACGGCTTGAGGGATGATTCTCTCGAAGAAGCGCCTCAAATCCGCAATGGTCCAGTGGCTAGGATCCGACGCTCTCACCGTCGTGGCCGGGGTTCGATTCCCCGTTGCGGAACTTTTGCTTTTGCCATCCTCACCCAATCCGCCGGCAGTCCACACTTGCCTTTCTTTTTGCTGAACCCATGCCACTGTTTGCTCAGTGACCCTGTCTGTATGCTACTCTGAATGGTTGTGCTAGCTCTTATACTTGGCATTATCACCACATCGGCTAACATGAGGTTTACTGATTCTTTTTGTTACCCTTGATGTGTTCAATTAATCAAAGCGAACCCCAAATGACCAGTGGCCTATAGTCGCAGCGTCTAGAGTGTGTTTATTCAAAGATGGGAGCCATTTTGGTGCAGTAAATGTCCTGAATCCAATATCGCTGGCATACTCAACAATGATGCAGTGGGCTGTACCACAACTAGTAGGATTCCTGCCGCTAGGAGCGGGCAAGAACTATTTATCTATACCCGTTGCGAGTGAAGAATCCTTAGCTATGCCACCCACCCTTGGCTGGCACCGGCACTCAAAATAAATCAACCGCCTGGAGAGCAATCTAGGAGCCCCTGTTGCTGGATACAGAGCTGTGGGGATGCTGGCTGCTTAGAATATGAAAGTCTTAGATCAAATATCGACTAGGATGGTAAACACTAGAACCCAGAAATACAGCATAGGATATACTTCAGTGATATTTAGTAGTACCTAGGATCTGCATTTACTATATAGGCTTTGTACTTGAAAGGAATATCATGTTTGAAATACATAGCACAATCGTGAGAGTCCACCAATCCAGTCCATTCTTAACTGGATAGTCTAGGTTCCTAATTCACTCAATAATGAGCTAGTGTATGCAAATGGATTGGAACAAGATCTGCAGGCAGCCATTGAGAACACATTGTACTGTATATTTCATCCTAATTCCTAGATCCACGCCACAGTGCTTACACAAGGCTGTAGTGGCTGCGCTATATAGCTTAACATACGCTAGTGTAGGCATAGGCCTCAGCAGTTTCCTTACTGTTGTAGGTCTAGAGCACACGGTAGGTGGTGTAGGGCAAGAGAAAAAGAAACAAGAAACGAGTAACGAAAAATACCATATGTAGATATGCTCGTAATTTTCGTTTTTAGTTGGAACAGATCTTCGAAACAGCGGCGAATCGGTCCAAGAATATGCTGGTAGCGTGAACTAGGTATCAACAGAAAACGAGAGAGCCAAGTATTATATTGGTGTAAAGAAGGCTAACGAGAGAAGAAAAGAGGAAAGAGGAAACAACGGGATGGAAAGCCATGTAATTCACAGTAACCGGATCTTGGGATTCTAACAGCGGCTGCGCACCACTAGCTCATAGCCGGCAGATTTCGGGTTGCCTAGGAAGCGGGTCAGAACCGAGGAGGCCACATGTAATCTGGTACCACCGGCAAACTCTGTCTTGGGCAAACATGGTCGCAGCGGATGACCTACTACTGGTTTTGGCTATCACAATGTGGGACGTGGTTGATTGTGGTATTGGTGATGGCCATGATAAGCAGAGGCATCATTGGTACTGACCTTATGGCGTAGTTAATGGCAAAGACGATGTAGTGACCTGGGCATAAATAAGCAGCTTGTTATATGTCCAATAGTTCCTGTTCCATCGACAGCCTATGTATCCCTGTTGAAGCTAGTGTGATTTCCAGCTTGTAGAATAGGTTAGTTCCCGTTTATTGCGTTTGTCGCCTACATTTAGTGCTGGCAAAGCTGTCCCAGTGAGGCAAGGTGGAGCTCAGTGCATCCCACTCAGCATCGGCGAAGGTAGCCCGGACAGTGATAGAGTCTGGGGCATATCTCGTGGATATGAGTGGGTAGTACTGAGAACCAGCTATATCGGAGGTTGTGAGTAAGTGAGAAAAGTGGAGCAGAGCGTATCCAGTCTGATGGCTGGACCGGTCCCACAGAGTATGGAAAAGCAGGACAATGAAAAGGGCGATACATACTTTATCAGGTCTGATGGTTGCCAAACAGGTAGGTCCGTGGTACCTGGATATATGGTATCTCAGCAGATTGCTTGAGACTAGTCTGCTGCGTAAGCAAGTGGACACGGCGATATCTAGGTATTTTTCTCATGCTGCATAAAGCTCCATCTTGTCTAGTAGGCACAATTTATTGCGGCGTCGGCCATGAATCACCAAAAGTCTAGCATACCCGACTCCACACATCCATAAAAAGCGATTATACAATAACTATTCCTGCGGTGGGCTGCTGCCAGGGACAACTTTGATGGGTGTCTCTCCGGGGCAGCATGAGCCAGGTAGACATGCGCCGTTGCGGCACGATAGCAGGCAAGGGCCAATGGTAGCGGAGGACCGTCTGGGTCTACCCGCCGGGCAAGTGGGCTCGGCAACATCCTCGTCCTCCGCCATAATAGCAACTCTGCTGAAAATAGAGCCTTCGCGACCGTCAAACTCGTTTGTATCCTCGTGGGTGCTGTTGGCAGCCTTGGTTGTTGCCACTGACACCGACTGGCCGACGACGAACTCGGGCTGGATCGTTGCTGAGTGGACACCATAGCGGTGCATAACCTGTTTGACATGTGCCGCCACTTCCATGTACACACAGTCCATATCCACGTTGGCAGGGCTACGTAGCAGGTCGCGCGACGAACGATGTGTGACAAGACGCGCACTCTTGGTTTTCTTGTCGTGATGGTCGTGGCTCTTTCCGGCTGCATTGCTCTCGCCCATATCAACCTCGCTTGACGAGTTGCTGTTGTGGATGCATTCGTACGTGGTCGGTCGGTCAATCAGTACATGCACTGACGACACATACTTTGTGTCAGACAACTGCCACACGTGCAGATCGTGGATGTTGAGTACGTTTGGGATCTTGCGCAGGTCATGGCGCAGGTCTTCTAGGTTGATGGTGTTGGGCACGCCGTTGAGCAGAATAAACGACGCGCTCTTGACTAGGGGCAGCGTCACCGCCACCACGAGCGTGTTGATCAGAATTGACATGGCCGGGTCAAAGTAGTAGCGCCAGTGGCCCTCCGCCTTCCAGATGACCAGGCCACTGATGATAACCGCAATGTTGGTAATGCAGTCGCCAAACACATGCACCCACACACCCTGCATATTGAGATGGCCGCCACCCTGCGAGGGGTCGTGATCATGATCGTTCTGCCCGGTCTTCTTTCCGTGCGAGTGGTCATGGCTGTGGTCGTGGTTCTCGTTGTGCTTGTGTGTATGCGGGCGCGCATCCTGAGAGGCTCCGGGAACGGCATGCCCGCTGCCATCGGCAAGCGACTCGATCTCAGCGTTCTTGATCTGGTTAGCAGACTTGATGATCGCCTGCTGTGTGTACGCTGGGTGGGGAATACCAATGATGGACTTGTTGTCAATGGACATGTGCGACAGCTGCGGCGTGCTAGCACCTACGCCCTCGGCCTGTCCTGTGGCCTCGATTGAGCCGTACACCGGCGGACTGGTGATCAGAATGTCCTCTTCGCCTACCAGCGACTCCTCATCGCTGTGGCTGTGCGAGTGACTATGACCATGGCCGTGGCTGTGGCCGTGCCCGTGCTCGTGGAACAGCGCTAGACCCATGATGTTGAAAGTAAGCCCGACGCAGCCGACAATCATGACCAGCTTGGGGTTGCGCACCTCTACAGTAATCCAAACGAAAGAAGAGCGTTTAGCGATAAGAAAAACCGATCTGCTGTGTTGGCAACGTCGTTCTCAGTGTCACTTGCCTTCGATCTGGACGAACCGCTGGATGGCATCGATGTAGATGGTGAGGCACAGACCGAGTAGCAAAACACCGTTTGTTAGTGCGCCCAGAATCTCCGCCCGCTGCCACCCGTACGTGTTATTCGGTGTTGCCTTGTCAGACTTTGCCAGCTACACATGAGACTTGGTTTTAGAGATTTCCCCAGCAACACAGGCTAATACTGAAAAGAGCCGTAATGCCTGCTTATTCTGGGCTAATAGAGACAGTAAACTCAAACCTCACAACTTACCTTGATAGCCCACAGCGCGATAACCATGCCAAGAACGTCGTTTAGCATGTGGAACGAGTCGGCCACCAGCGTAATTGACCCAGCGAGGATTCCGACGATGAGCTCGATGAAGAACATGCCCGAGCTCAGCGACAGCATGATGCCGACCTTGGCCGAACGCGACAGCTTGACCATGATTGCTGCCAATAAGAAATGTGTCTAAATAGAAGAGAAATGCGCTTGTCCCGGGAAGCAGGTTCAGGAAAGGAAAAGCGTGTAAAAGGGGCGGTTTAAATATACAGCAGGGAGGTGAATGGAATAGAGGGTTGGGAATAGGTATTAGAGGGGGGTGTCGAAGGGGAAAGAAAAGAAAAGCAGCAGTGGCAGGGAGGGAGGGGTGGCTTTTAAGAAGGGACGGAAGGAGAGTCAGCGCCAGCTTTTTTTCTAACACCATGAGATCAACTTTTGTACAGCTTTTTTTTTTTGGACATCGGACTGAGCCTTTTTTGTCAGAGCGGCCAAGCAGCGCCTGCCGACCATGCTCCGCGCAGTGCAATGGGTTTCGGTAAGTCCGAAATCGCCTTTTCAGGGGGCGCAAGGACAGTCCGGCAAGACCGCCAGGCTGCCAACCCCTCAAACCAGACCTGAAACCAAGGCAGCTGCGAGCAGAGTGACTGATATTTTATCCGGCTCGCCAGAAAAAACACAGCACCTGGACCACTCTGAAATCTGTTTATGCTCCCTCACACTGCCTCGATGTTGCACATCCACGACGTTAGCCTCCTGACAATCCCCTTGCCAATGCTATTTCAGGACAGCGGGCGAATGATCTGTCCTAGCTGGTCTTGGAGCATGCAGACCAGCTGCTCACCACGGAGGGGTCCACGAATAGGGCATTGAGTTCGAGCAGCACAGATCAGTGCTGTCATGAAGATTCAGCACAGGGCTTGGAACACCATTGTCGTTGCCGCACTATAGCACGTCAGAGCTATGTTTTCAGTAATGGCCAGGGACGGACATGGAGTAGGGGGTGGAGAGGCTTTTGAATATCACAGTACATTGTTTGCAGGATGCTTGCAACAAAATGAAAGCCGGATACACCCGCGCATATCGACATAGGCTTCCGTTCCTTTGCATGCCAGCACCAACAAAGAACGAGGCAGCCACTGCATATAGTGAGGTTTGTCTAAGCCTTTCCTACTCGTCCTACCACCACATGCGCCCATCCACAAAAGATTGCCTCTTTCTCCCAGCCAGAATAGAATACCCATGGCCAGAAATGTGACCAGAGCTGCAAGGTGATCGGCACCTAAAACGGAAGTACGCATATAAATCATATCTCTAGCATTTCCTTTCCACGCTCTAGGAACCCAAGCACCGCGGTTCAACCTTTCTTTTGGGATGGCTTGCATTTTTGAAATAAATCTATTTGTGTTGGGGCAGGGGACATGAGCTGCAAACTTGTGTAGGGGAAGAGGAGAGGGATGGGGATGTCTATTTGGCGTGGTTATATGCAACAAATGTATTCTATGCCTGGATTAGTCATTGCGGCAAGGTCGGTGTCCATGAAGATGGCGTTGTGAGCGGGCGAGGTAAGGAAGCTGTGAGAGGAAAGAACAAGGGCGGGAGAGAAGAAGGGAACTGTAACAGTCGGCCGATGTAGGGCGTAGCCCTGCGTCTTGTTTAGAAGTTATCGATGAGGTTGTCAATCTGCTCCTCGGACGGAGGGCTCGGTCGCCACTCGGCGTTGCTGACAGAGGACTCGACGTAGGCGGCGGTGAACATGGCTATATGCTATCAAAAGGAAATGGCTGTGTAGAGCGGCGGAAGGGATATGGAGATGAGTGAGCTGTAGGTAAGTTTGCAGCCACACCCGCCACACCCAGCTACTTTTATATCCGCAAGGTCCTCGGCGACCATGTGTGGAAGGGCCTAGACAGCACATTTTTGGTGCTGCAGATTGAAAGATTGAATTCAAACTACACGAGGCAGTCCCTTTGCACAGCGAATCCGTTATCCTGAATTCCAAAACGATCTTCACGACACCTGCCTTACCTCTCTTTGGCCACTCCCTCTTGTCTTACGAATAGCGAGGCATGGAAACAGTGGCTGAGAAATCTGTTTCTCTTTTTGTAAATCTCTGAACGAGTCCTTAGTAGTGGCCCGAAAGAGAGTGGGCCAGGACGGGCCAGCGCGAGCAAGAGAAGGAAAAAGCGGATGCAGTCAAAGTACTGCTTTCTTTTTCTTTTTTCTTGCAGCATACCGAGATTTTCAAAGTTTGTCTGGTTCATGGTTGGCCTGTGGCGAGTGTGAACGAGGGATCCACATCTACGCTGTGTAGAGGGGAAAGCTGGGAGGTGGCGAAAGCAGTTCGCAAACATTTGTTCCTGTTTGCTGTGGCACAAGGCAGCGTACCGCTGGGTGCTCAGACAGGCTTCCTCATGAGGGATAGTATGCCAATGATCGGCAAGCACGCTCGAAAAAGTGGGAGTAGGCTTTTTGCATGAAGGGGTTCTCGTTCACGCATATTCTTTCTGGCGGATCCGTTCACATATGCACCGATTTAATTAGGAACTCGATTACAAAGAACGGTTTCTCTTTGCAAGGTGGGGTGCATATACTGGTGGGTTGCGGATCCCAGTCATCCACGTAAAGTGAATGTAAAAGACGCTGACAGGCGGTGACGTTGGCTTGATACAAGTAGAGGCATCTAAAAGGAGGAGCGGAGTCCCTGCACATGTCCCACCATGGCAGCATAGTCTACATACAAAAACTGGTTCTCATGGAGCGGATTGTATTCTTCCCAGGTGTGATAATCCAGACCACAGTATGCACGTGATTCGCCATATGTTCCGTGTGTTATATGGGTGCATACTTGTCCAGAGTCTGGCAGAAACTGGTTGAAGGCCCTTGAATTATATTTCTTCAGTCTCTGCCACCGAGATGTGCGAAGATGTCGCCTCCCCGAAGGTGGCCCGCCATTGCCATGAAGTATAGCCTTGTTTTCTGGATAGCTGGTCGAGGTGAGCATGTCTTGCAAGCTGCCGCTCTATGCTGTGTGGAACACGCAGGCTAATGGCAGGGTCTTGTGTTTCAGAGCCCCAGCAGCTGCGCCAGAGCGCCAGCGCGGCTAATCCAGCAGGAATAGGATTTAATCTGTCATTGGAAAAGGTGCATGTGATTGATTGTGAGCTGCGTTCAGCCAAAACGGGCTTGCGGAGCACAGCAAACCCCGCGGTAATTTCCCGCAAACACGGCTCTCTCCTATTCCTCGCCCACTATCACTTCGCCCTGTATATTAGCTCCCTCCCTTCCATGATGCTTCCTGTTGACACGATTGATGAGCACATAGCCACAGGCATCTCTTTTGAGGCGCGTGAGCTTTACGACACACAGCGGGCTCCAAACTCGGCATATATCCGCACGTTTTTGACAGACTACCTTGACGATACAGCCAACACACTACGTGCACTGAGGGCGAGCCAGGGTGACGGCGGAAAGACAATTGACCGTATAGCGCAGACGCTGGGATGGCGTGAAACCACCAAAGTCTACCCGGGGAAGAGGCAGAGTGTTGGCAACTTATTAGTAGACAAGCAGGGGCGTGTGGTGGTTAATGCACGCAAGCGGTCATTGACAAGCACAGTGAAGGCACGGGCAGTGGAGACTCTGGAAGATGCCCGGCTGATGCTCAAGGCTGTCTACGACACACACAGGGCTGTCGCATCGGCGGCTGTTGTCGTGCCACTAGAATCTGTGTCTCTGGCACGCATCAGCATCGATGAGATCCGGCTGATTAACGAGATCGCAAGGACGCACTACCCGGGCCTTGTCGGGCATGTTTACTTGACAGCCAGCGCGTCAGTAATGCTGGAGCACTCGCGGCGGTACGTGCGGGCGTGGGGGCTTGGTGCGCCCCAGGCAGAGCGGCTGACGCTGGTGCTTGCTGACGAGCTGGCAGTCACGCCGATCGACGATTTCATGCGGGATCCCCCAAAAACACCGCATATGCACAAGCACGAGCCAGCCAAGACAACGCTGGATGACTTTGTCAAAGGCCAGAGGCAGCAGCAGGGCGGAAACAGCGCTGGAGCTGAGACCGAAGCAGACGAGTTCCACTCGGTTTACTCGGACGCTCGCGAGACAAACACCGACCCAAGCGGGATTACCGCGGATCTCCAGCGCCGCACCTCGTCCCGCGGAAGCCGGCGACTGGTGTCGTTGCCAAGCACACCCAGCCTCAGCAAATTCCTCGACCAGCCAGGTGGCCGGCATAGCGCGCTGGTCATGTCTGCACTGCCCAAGGACGACAAGCCCGATGAGCTGGATACGGTCAGCAGCGAAGAGGCGGAGAAGAGCGACGAGGCACGGCGGTTCGGCTCAATGACATCAATCCAGCTCGCGTCGCTACAGCGTGCTGTTCAGGGCGTCCAGCGCATGCTGTCGTCGATCGGCGACAACATTGGCACGGCGGACTCGCAGGCAGTGCTGGATTCAGCCAAGAGCAAGCTCTCGCAGCAGACCGATGTTTTGATGTCGACGGTTGCGGCGCTCAGCTTTGGTGTCTCGCTCATGGAGAACAAGCAGCCGCCGACATCCAAGGCCTTTTATATTGCCAGTGTGGCTGGCAGCCGCAAGGACCCGAATGGCTCGACGTGGCAGTCGTTCCTCAGCCGCGTGCTGGCGGTGCCGCTGGCGCTGCTGTTTGGGCGGCCGGGCAGCGCGGTCAAGATCATGCGGCTGGTTGCCAGCAGGGTGGCCAGGGTGATAGCCCGGCGGGTCAGGGGGCTGCCAGGGCTGCAGACGATTCTGATGCTCGCCTACAAGCACCTGCGCGTGTATGCCATGGTGTGCTGGACCGGCGCGTTTCTGCTGTACCAGGCCAACGCAGCTATGATATGGTCCAACCTGACAGCGCAGTGGAGCCGTGGGATCCGGATGTGAAGCCTGCAGCTATTAGTAATGGGCTTAATCGATTTTTAATACCACTACTTCCAGATCGGCTGTGATGTGGCTCTTTGCAGGCTGCACGGCGGGCCTGCTTTCTTGCCAATCGTAGAAAGGACGCCGCGGCCACAGCCCCTGCCATCGATTGCGGCGGTTTGTCATCAGCCCTCTCAGCTGGTGTAAGCAGAGGCGTATTTACGGAGGCAGCGATTGGTCATCACGACTGTAGATGGGTACAAGTCACCAGTGGAGGGCCTGGATGGGGCCATGGTCAGGCTTATAAACACCACCAAATTGCGGAGTCGCCAGCTTCATGCTATCTGGTCGCAAACAATCCCAGGCGCAACGCACGTTTTTTAGCGATTCCCCCTCTCTTCCGTTCTGTTTCTTTCAAGATATATAAACTCCAACTGGCTTCCAGCATTGTTCGCTTTTTTAAGAGCCTTCCATAAGCCAGCTTTTGCTTTCTTATCTTCCACACAGAACGAGTACGGGTGAAACAGAGTTAAACAAGGCACTGGACCTAGAACCTTCCGCCTGCTCTCCTCCGCCCACATCCAATTTTTATACACCAGCAGCCTTTCTTTTCTTTCATCATGTCGGCCCACATTATTAGCAGCCATGACCTCGATGCCGCTGCGACTGCTGTAGCAGCGACTCCAGCCGAAGCAAGCATCGGCCTGTCACACCAGGCAAAGTCGCACTTCAACGCCAGCCTCGACAAAGCCCTGAGCATCCTCAAGCAGCAAGACTCGACGGCACGCGAGGGGAGCACAACGCCCATCAACTGGTCGTCGGCCGATACAGAGGCCGGATCCACGGCCTCTGCTGCCACGCCGCTCAGCACATACAGTGCTCCAGACGACCTGATCCTGGAGGGGGCGCCTCTGATAAAGCAGAGCGCGTCTAACCGCAGCTCTCTGTCTGTAGCCTCAACGATGGCATATGCAGCAGCCCAAGGCACCAGCGTGGTTGCCCACAGGGAGTCCAAGGAGGACGTGGGTGTTGAATGCAAGGTGCGGGCACGGATCCCGTATCCAGGCGGGCACTTTTACCTGCACCTGTTCCACAACAGCGAGGACAATAAGGAGCACCTAGCGATCGTGTTCGGAGACGACGTCCGCAGTGCCTCGCTGGAGTCCGTCCAGGACGGCGAGAGCGAGATGGACCGCAAGATCCGCGGCGCCAGCACAGGTGCCGAGCGGCAGGCTATCAGCAAGGCGATCGCCCGCAGAAACACGGCGGGTGCCTCGGAGCCGCTGCAGCATCCGGCATTTGAGCCGGACGCCGAGGATGCGTTCGGGTCGAGCCGCGTGCCAATCGTTGATGCGCCGCTGGTACGCATCCACTCCGAGTGCTTTACGGGCGAAACCGTGTCAAGCGTGCGGTGCGACTGCGGGTACCAGCTGGCCGAGGCCATGCGGCTGATCCAGCAAGAAGGCCGCGGCGCCATCGTCTATTTGCGCCAGGAGGGCCGCGGCATTGGCCTGATGGAGAAGCTCAAGGCATATAACCTGCAGGACATGGGCCACGACACCGTTGACGCCAACCTGCTGCTGAACCACCCCGCCGACGCCCGCACATACGGGTCCGCCCGGGCCATCTTGGCTGACCTGGGCATCAGCAAGCTGAGGCTGCTGACCAACAATACCGACAAGATCCGCCAGCTGCGCGGCAACAAGAGCGATCTGGACATTGTTTGCCATGTGCCCATGTACCCGCGGTGGTGGGACGAGGATGTTGAGGATGAGTCGTCGTATTCGCGGCACCTGGCACTCAAGAAGGATGTTATGCGGGAGGCTGATCGGTATTTGAAAACCAAGGCGGAGCGCATGGGCCATATGCTGTCGCTAGAGAGCCACCATGCTGCGCACCAAACTGGTTAGAAATACACGGCCAATTCCTTGCTAACATCCTTTTTGTATTTGTTTCACTAAAAAAGAAAAATAGAATTACTCACTGATGCCTGTGATGTTCCCAAAAGGTCCTGTGGGCGCAGCTACACAGTCAAAAATGAAGGCTAGCTTTTTTGCAAAATTGCCATCCGTGTTCTCCAGTTATCTAATTCTTGTATATTTACCATAGCAATAGCATGTCAAAAGTCTGCGAGTACTTTCTACGCGGAAAATGCAACTTTGGCGACCGCTGTCGCAATGAGCATCCGCAGGGCAACCAGTCAGGGTTTGGCCAGTCCGCTGCTCAGTCCCTCATGAACCGGGGACAGAGTACTACAACCAATGCGTTGGCTGGCATCGGCTCGGGTGCATTTGGTAGCAACACGCAGTCTCGAGGATTCGGGGGCAATGTTGGAGGCGGTACATTTGGCCAAACAGGCGGCGGTAGTGCATTTGGCCAAGCACGCAGTGGTAGTGCATTTGGCCAAGCAAGCAGTGGTAGTGCATTTGGCCAGACAGGCGGCGGTAGTGCATTTGACCAAGCACGCAATGGCACGTTTGGCCACACAGGCAATGGCAGTGCATTCGGGCAGACAAGTGGTGGCAGCGCATTTGCCCAGAGAGGTGGCAGCGGAGGAGCGTTTGGGACTACAGGAGGACATGCGTTTAGTCAGACTGCTCAATCAAAGAGTTTTGGCAATACTGGCACGAGTGCGTTTGGCCAAATTGCCTCTCGCACCTTTGGCAACACCGGCAGCACTGCATTTGGAAATACAGCCAGCACTGGTAGAAGTGCCTTTGGAAACACTGGTGGAGGTGCATTTGGAACCACCGGCGGTAGCGCTTTTGGAGCCACTGGTGGAAGTGCATTTGGAACCACTGCAGCGACCGGCGGGGGATTCGGGCAGTTTGCGCAGCAGCAGCAACAGCAACAGCAACAATCAGGATTTCCCACACCACCCGCGAAAGAACGGCCCATTGGCACCTCAACAGCCGGCACAACCGATGAAAAGCTCTCCAAGCTCTCGGACGACCTGCTGAAGAAAATTGCGTCAGAGCGGCCCAATTGGCGGATCAGCAGCTTCGGACCCATCAGCAACGAGCCGAATATGCTCAGCGGCATGGACATGTCTCCCGAAGAGGCACGGCTTGAGCACATGCTTGCCAGGAACTCGGGGACCGTTGCCCAGTATGAACAAAAGTACGCGCAGCTGGAAAACACCGTGTCGCAGGCACTGCAGAACATTATCAAGGATCCGGCGACCGCTGTGAGTGATTGGGTGAAGAGTTCGGGTATGGCCGTGAGCCAGGAGGCACTTGCCAAGAGGAACCTGCCAAAGGACGCCTCTGCCAAACAGGCGTTTGGCCAGTCGACCACCCAGTCGGCGTTTGGGCAAACCTCGTCTGGCTCAGCATTTGGGCAGATCACTACTCCACGTGGGGCATTTGGCCAGCCTTCGTCTGGCTCTGCATTTGGTCAGTCTGTTGGTTCTGCATTCGGGAACACCACACCCGCAGGAGCCTTTGGCCAGCAGAGCGCATTCGGACAGAGCGGTGTTGTGGGGGGATTCAGCAAGCCTGCTGGTGGCGCGATGAATATGCCGTCGTTTGGCAGCACGCCTGAGGAGATCAAACGCAACACCGGCCCGTCGCGCGAGTTGACGGAGGCGGAGATCAGCAGCTTCGAGGCGCCCGACTTCAACTTTGGCGAGATCCCCGAAATGCCACCCACCATCGCGCTTCGACAGGGCTGATCAATGATTTTTAATAAATCAGACGTGCGATCAGCGCCTTGCAAATAAAAAGCATAAAATCGCAAATTTTGTTTTCTTCTCTCGTTTTGTTGCAACCCACAGTTCCTTAGCCAACTTTTTAGAATGCGCATTTACACAGCCGACGAGTCCGGGTTGATAAAGACTGTAACGATCGATCCCAAGGTGTCGCTCCTGGAGGCCAAGGCGCGGGCCGCAAAGAAAGCCAAGGCTGACGCCAAGGCACGGGCCAACGCCTCCAAGGCTGGCACCAAGCTGCCCACGGAGGAGGCCAGCCTCGCCGGCGTCGCTATCAGCACCCTCAGTGGCACTGTTCAGCGCGATCTGGGGATTGCACACATGAGCGAAATGACATTCGGCAACGAGAGTGCTTTCATCGTAGCGCGACAGAACGGATCTGTAGACGTGATCTCGCAGGCCACGGGCTCCGAGCTGTATTCGTTCAGCGAGCCCGAGTTTTCACAGAAGCTGAGCATCAAGAGCAACGGCAAGTTCATCACCAGCACACAGTACGTGGGTGTGGGTGCTGGCCCAGACCACTTTGTGTCGTGCACAAATCTCGGCCAAGTGCGGTACCAGTCGTTTGCAGGCAGCTCGACACTGCTGAAACTGCCTGTGGATGCGTGCCACATGCGCACGCATTTGAGGCGTCCAAGCATCCTCGCAGTCGGCGGGCGCGAGCAGGAGCTGACGGTATGGGATGCAGAGACACTGGAGACAAAGAAGCCGGGCGAGTTCTCCAAGGCTACCAGCGCGCCTCTGTTCAAATCCAAGAATGTTGCCAACGATAACCTGGATCTGCGTGTGCCCGTGTGGATCACTGACATGCAGTTCACCAGCGACGACACGTCCACGATCGCCGTGGCTTCGGGCTACAAGCACATTAGACTGTATGATACGAGAGCGAACCAGCGGCCAGTGCAGGAGTGGAGCGTGTCAAAGCACCCGATCCTGCACTTGCTCAAGTCGCATGTCAAGCCCGAGCTATTCTTTGCTGACAACATGGGCAATCTGCAGCAGATGGATATGCGCAAGGGTAATGTGATTGGTGGATACAAGGAGATTGCGGGCGCGGTGCGTGCCATTGCACTCAGTGAAGACGGCTCAAAGGTAGCCGCGGCCGGACTGGACCGGTTTGTGCGTGTCTACGAGACCGGCGGCACTAGGGCAATGCTGCACCGAGCATATGTAAAGCAGCGGGTCACAGGGCTCGTGTATGACTGGAGTTCCAAGGATGTCAACTCTGATGAGGAAGAGCAGCAGGAGACCGAGGCTATCTGGGACAGCATGCCGACGGCCGGCGACAAGAGTTCGAAGCGTAAGAGGCGGACATCCGAGTAAAGCAGTTTATTCGAAGTTGATAACTCTGAAGATAGCTAGAAATGAAATGAAATGAAATGAAAAATATTGGAAAGAGAGCCTACTCGTCCTACTCGTCCTTCTCGTCCTTCTCGTCCTTCTCGTCATAGTCCTCGTCATCCTCGTCATCCTCCTCGGACTCGACGTCAGCATCGTCGTTCTTCTTGGCATGGCTATATCTGAGGGCCTCCTTCTCCTGAACTCCATACTTGCCTGCAGAAAAGTGTGCCGCTGTGCCCAGCACCGACGAGCACAGCAGACCCGAGACCAGCCTTGCCTCTTCCTCGCTCAGATGCGGCACAAGATTCAGCACTGCATCCAGCAGTGGGCTGAGCGGGAAGCCCGGCGCATGCTCGACGAATGACCAGGCATGGGTCGTCAGGATATACCCGACAGTAGCAAAGAACGACAGCTTGGTGTCCAGCGAGAACCCCTTCGTTGCCAGAGCCGGCGTGCGGAAGGTCCATGAGTGCTGCGAAATTTGCAACAGGTCGTCGATGATGCCGCCGCCAGAGCCCAGCACGGTTCCCACAAACACCCATGCTACCAGGGACTCTGCCACCGGCTGCCCGTGCATTGTCTTACGCACGAGGTCCACCCCCGCCGCAGTCACGCCGTACCCACGCAGCAGCCCGTCCACACTCGCCAGAAACACGTCACTCACTGGCGACGTCCGCCGCAAAAACTTGTATAACAGGTCACCGGGCATGTACCCTACGAGCAGGTACATGCCAGCATAGACGGGCACCGACAGGCTGTTCTCGAGCCACGGCTGCGTGCGCCCCAGCGCCAGCGCCGTCAGAATGGCTCCGCCAAACGAAAAGGTCAGCATGGTGAGCACCTCTTGCACCAGAGGACGCCGCCCGTTGTAAAGCGTCGCCTTGCGCACCTCGTAGGCGATGCGGAGGGCGTGCAGGGTCATAAAGATGCCCACTGGCAGGAGCGGCTCGCTGCCGCCAACACCCCCGACCCAGCTCTTCTGGAGCAGGGCTAGGTACGACGAGGCCACCTGCTGCACTTGCGGGAACCCGCCCAGAACGGATGCACGCTGCGGCAGCTCCTTCAATGCTGCGTTAGACATGGCTTCAGATAGAGTCGTTGCTTGCTTGTGTTCTTGAAAGGGTACGTGAATTCGTAGTCGAAGCGAAAAGTGGGTGGGAGAGAAGAGGCAGTACCTGAGGTGCTGATCGCCCTGCCTATAGTGCGCAAATAAAGGCAAGGCGTGCTACGCCACGTGATCTTAATGTGATTTTATGCCTCTCGAAACGAGCCTTGATTCCGTGGGCAGGCAGAGCAGCCAGGTCATGCATCTAGCATTCTGCCAGCGCTATACGGCGCTTCCTGGCATTACTGCTCTCTTTCGCTCGCTGCAAACTGTTTTCTTTAACCACTTTCTTATTCCCGGCTCTTTTGTGTGCGCGTCGCTCTCTGTCTCTCACTTTTCTTCTCATTCGCTGTCTCTCGTTCTCAGCACTTGCTCAACCCTTTCTATAAAACACTATACAGGCCATGAAGCTCCTGCCGCTGACGCTCGCTCTCGCCACCTCTTTGCAGACGCTTGTCTCGGCTACTCCCGTGATCCCCGACGCAAACCTCTGGGTTATTGAGGAGGCCAGCGGCATATTCTCCTCGCTCAGCTTCCTGGTGCGCGGCGGCGATGAGGACCTAGGCAAGAACCGTACCCTCAACGACGTAATCAAGGATGTCAGCCATGAGGACGACCTCGTGGATATCAAGTACGTCGATATGGACCCAGAGTACCCGGTGCGCAAGACGCCCGTGCATATCAACGCCCAGGCGTACGTCAAGGACCGGATTGAGGCCGCCACTGCCAACGTCAGAGTCAAGTACGGGTTCATAACGCTGCTTAACCGCAACTACGACTTGTGCGAGGAGCTGAAGACCAACCTGAACAAGACGTGCCCTGTCGACGAAGGTGTGATTGAGGTCAATGTCGACGTTGATGTGCCGGGCTTTGTGCCGCCAGGCAACTTCTACCTCGAGGCAAAGGCCTGGCGCAACGAAGACGAGAAGCAGATCGGCCGCATTACGGCCAAGGTCCACTTCTGAAGAAAGGGTGCTGACATTTTAAACTCGTAGACCATTTTATTGCCGTGCTGTTTTCTATATCTGCCAAATCATATACTATCCTGCTTGTCATCCTTTTGGTGGCGGTGGTGGTGGAGGTGCTCGGTGCATACCCTTGTCGGGATGCTCGTCATGGAAGCCGAGGTTCTCCCATCTGTCGCGGTCCATCAGTTTTCTACAAGAGAGTCATGCAATAAGTGGCATCTGCTGCTGCATCGCTTTACCGTTATCAATGCGCAGTTTCTTTCTTACCTTTGCATCCGGCACTCGAGGTAGTCTTTGGACAGCGGCTTGCATAGCTGGCTGCTGCCGCGCTTCTCCTGCAGGCAGTCGAGATACCTGCTCATAAACACCGTGCACTCGCCGCCATGGTCGAGCGGGAAACTGCCGCGGTCCGGTGGCGTCGGTCTGAGCGTGCTCTGTGGTGGTCCACCAAAGCTCATGGTTCGAAGGGGTGTGTAAAGATGCAGAGTCAAAAAGCGGTCTCGCTTGGAATGAGCTCAAGACCAAGTGTTCAGATAAGGCCACGACTACTTCAACTATGGTTAAATTGTGTTCAAAAATTTCTTAATTTTATTTTGGCGAGTCACCTCGGCAGCTTCTAACGCTTGTAGCGCTGTGCTTTTTCTTCTAGTTCCTGCGCTTCTTGTGCTTTATCCTGGCACCGCTGCCTGTCGGCACAATCACCTGGTCATCGGTAGTGGTGATCTTGTTGGAGGTCTTTTGCAGCTTGGCCACAAAGAACCCGTCCATGTTGTGCGCGTGAGGGTAGAACCGGCGCGTCAGCGACAGCGAGCTGTTGAACGTGTGGCCGCGGAAGCTCGTGAACCCAGGACGGCCAAAGTCCAGGCCAGTGTCAACCAGCTTGACATTCGGCCGCTTGCCCAGCGCATAGTTCACAATGGCCTCGTTCTCATCGACTGTAACCGAGCACGTCGAGTACACCAAGAATCCGCCGGTAGGCGAGTCGGCGTTGACTGAGTCAATGGCCGACAGAATCAGCTCTTTTTGCAGGTGCGTCAGCATGGTGAAATCATCCTGGCTCTTGTTGATCTTGACTGATGCATCCTTCGAAATGACACCCGTACCACTGCACGGCGAATCCAGCAGCACACGGTCGAAGCCGCCCATGACACGGGGGAACTCACGGCCATCGTAGTTGCAAACCAGCGTGTTGCTGATGCCCAGGCGGTGGATGTTTGCCACCAGGGCCTTCTCACGCTCCTTGTTGGCATCGTTGGCCACCACCAGTCCGGTGTTCTTCATCATTGCTGAGCAGTACGTGGTCTTGCCTCCGGGGGCAGCCGACATATCCAGCACCTTCTCGTTCTCCTGCGGGCCTAGCGCCATTACGGGCAAAAACGACGACGCCGCCTGGATCATATAGTGGCCTGCCATGTACTCGGGCGTAGCACCGACAGGCACAGGCGAATCAAAGATCGTGAGCCCAACCTTGGTCCACTTTCCAATCGGATCGAGATTGACACCACGGTTGATGAGTGCCTGGGCCAGATCACGTCGCCGCGTCTTGAGCGTGTTGGTACGGATAGTCACGGGACGCGCAGTCTCGTTGGCCTCGAAGAACTCGACTGCCTCGCTTACCGGGAAGATCTGCAGCATCTTGTCCATCAGGTACTCGTTGTACCCGTAGTAGAAGCACATATCGCGCTTTAGCTGCGTCATGTAGTCCTCACGCGACCGCTCCGGGTCACGCAGATCCGCAAAGTTGTTGAGTACACGGATCACCTCCTGGATCCGGAGCTGCACTTGCTGGAGATCCAGGGGGGCCTCCTTCTCAGCCTCAATCTGCTCGGCACTCGGCAGAGTAAACAGCGCACGCTCTCCCTCGGCTGCCTCCTCGGCCGCCAGCTGCTCGAGCTCGGCCAGCTCCTCTTCAGCCTTCTGCTGTGCCTCCAGAAGCCGCGACCGCTTCTCCATGTCGCGGAATGTCACTGGCTCACCGTCTTCGTCGGCTGTATCGAACTCGTCGTAGGACTCCATACCACCGGTCTCAGAATCAGAGTCCTCATCGTCAGACTGTAGCAGAGCAATCGGCTCCTGACGCTCATCGTCGTCATCGTCACTGTCAAACTCGCTCATAGACGCGCCATCATCTTCACTGTCAGACGCCATCGGTGCGTTGTCCCATCCATCGTCCGGCGCTCCCTCAAGGAGCACAACAGACTCGGCTTCCTCCTCTTCTTCTTCCTCTTCCTCCTCGCTCTCGGGCTCAACAACCTTGGTCTTCTTTGCCTTGGGCTTGGGCTTGGGCTTGGCAGCCTCTTCATCACGCTTGCGCTTGCTGGTAGCTGCCTTGGTCTCTGCAGCACGCTTCCCTGGGGCCGTCTTGCCCACATTGGCTGTGCGCTTGCGCGTCTGGATCTTTTCGTGCCGCAGACGGTCGTGCAACACCTTGGTTACTTTGCCTGTGGCCCGCTCCTGCTCCAGCGGCAGAGGCACATCCTGCTTATTCTTTGCGCGGCGACCCATGGTGCAAGTATACTGATGTGTAAAAGTAAGTGTTTGGAAATAAAACTGCAGAGACGAGAAACGGCTTTCCACTGACCTTGAGTGCAAAGCACAAGCTTGCACACTTGAAGAAAAAAACAGATCAAGTTAATTTTTTCATGGGCAGAATTTTCCATGTCTAGATCTATTAGCAGCTGGGATTAAGAAACATAGGTGTTTTTGGTGCAGTCCCAATATTGGCTGTGGATTCCCAGCAATCCGGTAAACATTGCTTTGACATCACAAGGGTCTGCAAGCCATGTCTCAGGGGGTTTGAAATTTGCTTTTTGATGATACTAGACATACTAGAATTGCTCTGCTCACGATGCGAGCTCGGCTGCTAGTCAGCATGGGTTGACACGTCGATAAGGGCATCACGGCGAACCGATCATTTGAACGTGTCGGATGGTTGTTGGTGCAATGGCGATCATGGACATCTCCCACCTTGGTGGCCTGCTCAGCGCAGGCGCTCCAGCGCTGGTTCGCTGCTGCTGGCAGCAGAATCGCCTGCTGCTGCACGCCTCTTGCGCGGCCTCTTTGTTGCCAGGGTGGTGCCAGAAGCATCGGCAGCAATGGCCGTAGAACGACGGAACCGTTCAGGAATACCGCCTGAATCAAAGAGTGACTGGAAAACGAGTCTGAAGTTTAGAGCTGCTGCGAGATCGCGGTTCAAGAGCCGAGACGAATAGGCTCGCCTGTATTGTGCCATGGCCTGCTTACATGACTCGCTTGTACAGCGGAGAAGGCCATGGCACTTCACAGTTGGGTTCTTCGATCTCTGGTAGGGCCGCGGGTTGGGAACATGCCGGAATGTCTGCAGCGACCTTTCGCAGCAGAACGGACACATCGACGATGTCCGGAATTCGTCGATCAGATAAACTTCAAAGCCATGGTGCTTGAACTTGTCGCGCCATCCCTTGCCGCGAATCGGCGCATGGTATCGGGCCATCGGCGCACTCCAATTGCCCATAATCAGCACTGGATCTGGACCGAACTTGCTCCGGAGTTTTGCGGCAAGCCTGTGGTCTGCACGGGCCTGGTTCATGAATGAATCAAGACATAGCTTGCGGTGAAGCGGGTACACCTTGGGACTGGTCCCGACACCCGGATGGGCCTTCCAGCGCCTCTGGTGCTGCTTGTTTGACTTAGTGGGCTGCTGCTCTGGTAACCTTCGCGCTGTCATCGTGTTGGCATAAAACGGTGCTAGGATACACCGCACAGATGCACGGGCAGCAACGTAGGCACGGAATTTTGCTGGGCTAAGGGTCCGGCAGCAGTGCTTGGAAAGCTCTGCCTCTGCTCTGCGGACAGCATCTTCTGGGACTTGATCCTTTGTAGCCCGACGAATCCTGTCATAGTGGCGCAGCTTGAGCTCCTTATTGCGCTGCTGCCGTGTGTAGCGGTAGAGCATCTTTTCACCCTCTTTCCCATTGCTGCTATTTTCGTGCATCATGTACAGTAAATCGCCCCGACCTGGATCGATGAATACACAGCGGCCTTTCAGATTCTGTAGCTCTGGCTGTGGGATCTGGTGGATATAGCGACAGTCAGCTATAGTACTGCCTCCCACAGCACCACCTCCTGCAACATCGCCTGTAGCATCGCCTGTAGCATCGCCTCCCGCAGCATCGCCTCCCGCAGCATCGCCTGTAGCATCGCCTCCTGTAGCATCGCCTGTAGCATCGCCTCCTGCACCATCAGCATCTACTGCAGCACCAGCCTTAGGTACCTTGTCTTGTAACAAAATGCATATCGTTACACCATCTGTTGTCGCCATCCCGTGGAATTTTCTATCACCATGCGCCTTAAATGGCTTTGATGTTAGATCTGCGACCCGGCCCCATACATCCCACACAGATTGTATGATCCCTTGGACCGGGTCGTGTGCACAGACTGGGGGTGCTGGTGCATATGCATTGTTAAGTGCTGCAACAGTGTCTGCTGCTGCCGCCGATGCAGCAGCAAGCGAATCAGCCGCTACTGCTGCAGTTGCTGCAGTGGCCTCTGCTTCATCTGATGGCATCTTCGCTGCTTCGCGTGCAGCCTTCTTGGCCAATTTTTCGCCCTTTTCTGCTGCTTTCCTTGCCTCTGTTGCTGCCCTCTTTGCTGCGTTGATCTCTGTAACCTGCTCGCGTGTTTTTCGAAACAAACATCTGCTTGATTATTTGCTTGTCTAAGCGCACATGGCCTGGGATCCATGATGTCCGCAGAGGCAAGCATTGAGGGGGAGACTTGCCAAGCTGCTCACTCTCGATAAGCTGGCATAGGCGAATGTATGCACGCAGATGCTTAAGTGGATTTACCTTGGCATCATAGTATCGGCTGTCTTTGGCGAATCTGTACTTGGCACCATAGGCATTATGGACTGGTGCCAGCTTGTTGTAGATTGCAAGCATCGGTGGGGTGAGCACACTGAGGTCAGGGTGCCTAGAGGCAACTGCCTGGCGGAGCTTCTGTGCAGGTGTATAAATACACACTTGACATGCATTATTGAACTCAGCCTTGGACACATTGCCCATTGTACTGTGCAGTGTGTTTTTGCGGCTGCGAATATCAATCAATTTGGCCAGAATCCGCTGTAGGCAAGTGCCATAGTGCAACACAATGTTGTTCTTGTATGCTGTTAGCAGCTCGGTATCCACGTATGTTGCTACCTGATTCATTTCGCGTACGCCATGTAGCTCGATATCGCCATTATGTAATAGATAATCATAAATACGATATCTAACTACATCACCGAAATCTGCGCTCGACAGTTCTGGCCGGTCCTTCCGGTTGACGAAATCCTCGGCAGATATGACAGTCTTCGCCTTCAGGTTGCGATAAATAAATAAATAAATGGAACGAAAAAACCCCTTTTTCACAAATATTGCAGGGTCAAAGGCATCATCGTCAGCTAGTTGATGGAGTAATATCCATCGTGCAAGCATGTATGTATGCTCTTTGATGATATTGACGCTGTGTACAAATTGCTCTAGGCGGGGCAACATAGAATCACGGAAGCCAATACCACCAAGTGATGTCTTTATGACAGTAGTGCTGCGGGTAATATCCATTTGAGAAGTTCAATAGGCAAGTAAGAAGAGAAATGATGCTGTTCAGTTTTGCTGTATTGTGTATGCATAGCATTAAGAACTTTTTATTAAAAATGATCTGGCTTGCATGGTTCTTGGGGCCCTTAGCACTGATACAGTCTCTTGAATCAGTCTATACATACTGGGTCCGTTGTGACCCAAATACTACCGCTTACGCATGTTCATAAGACAAATTAATTTATAAAATAAACCCACAAATATTGCATAACCACCAGAAGAGCTATATGGCCTTATTCAATAGGTGCTCATGAATAAATATCCTAAGAGTGTTGCGCAGCCGGTGATGACCACCATGATGCCACTATGGAAGTTATCAGGCCGACCAACAATGAGAGCAGCTCTTGCGCTGAACCAATGGAGATATCTAGTGGAGGCCTGTGACCAGTACAATACCAGCTTGTCGCCCTGGTTTCACCGATGAGGTCAGATGCCGCACAATATCAAGAGGAGTTTACGGAGCAAGTCGCCCAAACTCGTGTTGAAGCTTAAAAGTTTTTATCTTTTAACCAATTTAAAAGGTTCTAGCGGACGGTCGGACACTTTTTAGACTATAAAATCTTATATATAGGTAAAGATTATTGCATCCAGTACTGCTGTATAGCTTGTACAAGTCATTGTCGCACATTGGTAGAGTTTAAACAGCGTATGGCTAAAGATTGCTCTAACATTATGAGAGCCAGATGGACCATGCAGCACGTGTAAAAGGTGTCCAAGGCAAACGGCAAAAAAGTCTCAGCATTACCAAGCATTGGTCCTGCCTTTCTTTTAGTATGTCCCTCACAGCTCGTAACCCCATTAGCAATTGCACCATGAAGTTCACTGCTATCGCCTTCCTCACCTCGGCTGCCCTTACCCAGCAGCAGCAGGCTCCCGTGCAGCGCATGCAGAGCGCTCTGCCAGTCCCACCCACGGCCAAAATTACCTCCAATTCGAGATGCCAAACATCCAACCCAGCATTCCAATCCCAAATGTGGAGACCATCGATCCTGTGAGGTCAGTTGTGGCCCACCTGGCCTCGTTGTTTGACTTATCGCACATTTCCAGCGAGAATACCAGCAAGCCTATAGTTGCCGAGCATATGTTTGATCCAGCCACTCGCAAATTCACTCACTTATCGCACAATATGGTGCAGAACGGCGATGCGTGCTACGTGCCGGTGTGCCCAGTCGATACGATTGTGCCGACTGGATCGTCAGCTATACCAGCCACTGATAGCTGCCAGTACCGTATTCAGCTGCTGCCTGTGTCGCACAATGCAGCTGGCCTGATGGCCAAGGTAATGTGCACTGCCTTCAGATTGCTTATGCGTATTCTCACTCCATCACCTTCCCCTCGAATGCCCAGTCAGGTGCCACCATGCTCTTCTTTAGTAGCCAGCCCCGAGAGCAACATGCACCCATCACTATTTTCTCATAATCATGGTTTTTGCAGGTAGTGCGCACTTGAATTCATCTGAATAGCCACCTGCCATTGCAATGTGCTTAGGACTAGGAAGCATGTGCTATAAGATAATTGTATTTTTTTGTGCACCAAGTGCTCGGAAAGAAGGGTTTTTCATATATTTATGCGCGACTACGCTCATACTGGTCATTCCACTTGACAAACACGCCAAGATCCTTTGCGGCTTCGAATACAAACGACATGTCACGCAGATACTTGCGGCCTGCCGAGATAATATCGGCCTTGCCCTGCTCCAAAATCTCGTTTGCCTGTCTGCCGCTATCGATGCAGCCAACAGTGCCGACAAGAACGTCGGGCACAGCCGCTTTCACAGCCGCTGCATACGGGACCTGGTAGCCAGGTGCATATGCGACCTTTTGACGCGGGTCGTTTCCAGCGGTCATAATGTCAATGAAATCGGCGCCCTCATCACGCAGTGCTTTGGTCAGCTTGGTGGCGTCCTCGACACTCCAGCCGCCCTCGACACAGTCGCTACCTGCAATACGGACAAACAGCGGCTTCCCCTCAGGAAGCGCCTTGCGTACCTTGCGAGTGGTCTCAACAAGCATACGGATGCGGTTCTCGAACGAGCCACCGTACTTGTCGGTGCGCTGGTTAGACAACGGCGAGTAGAACTGGTGAAGCAGATAGCCGTTGGCACCGTGGAGCTCAACAAAATCGAACCCAGCCTTGTCGGCCCGGTCAGCTGCATCAACAAATGCCTGCTGAACATACTCGATTTGCCTGACGGTCATCTCCTTGGGTGTCCAGTACTTGGAGTCATAGGCAATGGCTGACGGGCCATAGACATCTTGTGGCCAGCCACCTTCAGTTTCGTCGACTGTGAGGGTTGGGTGCTTGCCGTACATCCTCAGAGGGATTGTACTACCCTTGCGACCAGCATGCGCAAGCTGGATCCCGATCGCAGTGTTAAAGTTGTGCGCATAGTCGACAAAGCGCTTGAGTCCAGGAACATGCTCATCCTTCCAGATGCCAAGGCAGTCCGTGGTAATGCGGCCCTCAGGCAAAACTCCGGTAGCCTCAACCACCACCGCACCGGCGCCGCGGATGGCGAGCTGACCATAGTGCATCAGATGGAAATCATTGGCGAAACCGTCCTTGGAAGAGTACATGCACATCGGGCTGACCCACAGACGGTTTTTGAACATCACGTCGCGAATCTTGAGAGGCTGGAGTAGAAGAGGCAAGGGATTTGGGTTCTTGTCAGAGGCAGCAACTCCGTAGCGGACATCCATGGCAGTAGGGGCAACAGGCGTAGCTGGTGCTGGGTCCTGCTTAAGGTCAAAGGTGGGAGTGCTTGGAGTAGACATAGCTGGAAGTGGTTCAGGCTGATTCGTGGTATTTCAAGGAGTTGTCGGAGCTAAAGGATAAGGTGTGACGGCTGTTATTTTGTAACGAGGTGGGTCTTGCAATTGAGGAGGGTAGGCACTAACTCTTTTATACGAGATAACTATAAGCATACTTACTAGTAAGTCTTGGCACTTGTTTCAGCAAAATAGACCCGCCTCTGCTTTGAACGGTACCGGCGTTAGCCACCGAAGGCACTCCGACTCCACAACCGAATGTAGGACGGTGCTAACTATTTAATTGGTTGTCCAGAAAAGACCGATATTTAGCTCAATGATAGCTTGGAAATTAGTGAGCTGGTTGAGCCATTCGCACTAACAAACTCTAGGGCAGCGAGGTATTTGTCAGCGGTAGTTTCATTTTGCTTAACAATCAACCGTCACTCGCAAGCTGAAGGATTGTTCAAAGAGCTGAATACCATTTGTAATTTCAAGTTCAGTCAGATACAGCACTAGGAGAGTTTGTAATAAAATTGAAAGGGAAATTGGTAACAGCGTGTATAACATTAGTAAGATAATTGTAGTTACTGAGCGACCACTGGCAACACAAACTGAGGTCTTGTTGCGCGCCCGATGCGGCTGTCCCTGACATCGACATGTCAGCCGAATCAGGTGACAGAAATCCAGGCGCCAACGAGAGCCCCGCTACAGCCTACGATATGGAGGTAGAGTCTAGCCTCTGATAAGTTGCACAGATGGCAGTATTAAAAACTCCCCTGCGCAACTCGTCTATTCCCTTTTCTCTCTTTTCTTCAGTATTAAATATACATTTAAAAACCACTACACAGTCGACCAACACAACAGTCTGACTAATCAGGTCACAGCTATTAAAATGCACACTTGTAACCTACCAAAGTTCGGTTTGGTGCCACAAAAGTATTTGTAAGGTATCTGAAGAAGCAAGACGACATATTTCTTGACCAGTATTGTCTCACCTGCATAGTCGATTGCACAGGCGTAAGGGAAATCTGGATATTGTCATCGCATACGCTGGACAACTGGCCAAGCTACCTTTAGCACCTCTCCTAATTCAAGTAGCCTAGCTAGCACTCAGCTAGAGATGTTGACAAATGGCATACTGTATTACACTTTGTCAGGTTAAAGCCCCTCGGTCAGGGCATAGGTGAATGCTACTTGAGAAACACTAGACAGTAAAACTATTGTGCTCCTCTGAATACAAACCATTAATAGAAATGTAGGAGAATCGCCTCCTGCGTTAATGGACACACCAAGCAGACAATAATCTACCGCTTCGGTACTATGAGTCTACCTTAGCATATGGCCATTCGTATGCATACGTCGCTGCGCCCCTTTGCTTTTGCATTATTCACATTTATTTTTCTTACAGCAAGGAGTCGACATCATGTGACCGAATCCAAAAGCTAAAAATATGGCTCGCAGATGCAGTCTAATAATTGCATCAATCCCAGAATTCAAGCCCGAGTCCTCGAAGGCAGTTCCTACGAGCCATATTTGTTTTAGCTAGTATTTATTGTTTCTTCTCAGGCTTAAGCTGGTAGAATCCCAAGATCCGGTTACTGTGAATTACATGGCTTTTCATCTCGTTGTTTCCTCTTTCCTCTTTTCTTCCCTCGTTAGCCTTCTTTACACCAATATAATACTTGGCTCTCTCGTTTTCTGTTGATACTTAGTTCACGCTACCAGCATATTCTTGGACCGATTCACCGCTGTTTCGAATATCTGTTCCAACTAAAAACGAAAATTACACTCATATCTACATATGGTATTTTTTCGTTACTCGTTTCTTGTTTCTTTTTCTCTTGCCCTACACCACCTACCGTGTGCTCTAGACCTACAACAGTAAGGAAACTGCTGAGGCCTATGCCTACACTAGCGTATGTTAAGCTATATAGCGCAGCCACTACACCCTTGTGTATGCATTGTGGCGTGGATCTAGGAATTAGGATGAAACATAGTACAATGTGTTCTCAATGGCTGACTGCAGATCTTGTTCCAATCCATTTGCATACACTACGTTGTTATTGAGTGAATTAGGAACCTAGACTATCCAGTTAAGAATGGACTGGATTGGTGGACTCTTACGATTGTGCTATGTATTTCAAACATGGTATTCCTTTCAAGTACAAAGCCTATATAGTAAATGCAGATCCTAGGTACTACTATATATCACTGAAGTATATCCTATGCTGTATTTCTGGGTTCTAGTGTTTACCATCCTAGTCGATATTTCATCTAAGACTTTCATATTCTAAGCAGCCAGCATCCCCACAGCTCTGTATCCAGCAACAGGGGCTCCTAGATTGCTCTCCAGGCGGTTGATTTATTGAGTGTCGGTGCCAGCCAAGGGTGGGTGGCATAGCTAAGGATTCTTCACTCGCAACGGGTATAGATAAATAGTTCTTGCCCGCTCCTAGCGGCAGGAATCCTACTAGTTGTGGTACAGCCCACTGCATCATTGTTGAGTATGCCAGCGATATTGGATTCAGGACATTTACTGCACCAAAATGGCTCCCATCTTTGAATAAACACACTCTAGACGCTGCGACTATAGGCCACTGGTCATTTTGGGTTCGCTTTGATTAATTGAACACATCAAGGGTAACAAAAAGAATCAGTAAACCTCATGTTAGCCGATGTGGTGATAATGCCAAGTATAAGAGCTAGCACAACCATTCAGAGTAGCATACAGACAGGGTCACTGAGCAAACAGTGGCATGGGTTCAGCAAAAAGAAAGGCAAGTGTGGACTGCCGGCGGATTGGGTGAGGATGGCAAAAGCAAAAGTTCCGCAACGGGGAATCGAACCCCGGCCACGACGGTGAGAGCGTCGGATCCTAGCCACTGGACCATTGCGGATTTGAGGCGCTTCTTCGAGAGAATCATCCCTCAAGCCGTTGTGTCGTGTCTGCAGCGAGCAGCATTTCCTCCTGGTCGGAGGTGACTGCTCCCACAGAGGGTTGGGGGGCATTCGGGCTTGCTGTACCTGCCCCTCTCGGCGTACTCGGAGAAGTAGGCATCGTCATAATAGTGTTTGGAAATATAATAAATTGAGGTCACAAATATGGAAAGTCTGTTCAGCGGTCGTCGGTCGTTCTCTGTCTGTCGTCGATGATGTTTTCTCTGTCTGTCTACAATCCATACCTTTTATAGTAGGATATTACCCCGCTCAACACGGCGACGTCGACTACATTTGTCAGCGTCGGGCACTTATGCACAACCATGGAAGGTCGCGACATACATACCACCCATATATGGCGTATCGGGTGGCGCAGTAGCAACCAGTCGTTGTCGATCACTCGGGCATCAGATCATCGGGCAATTCGGGGGCTCGACTCGGAGCTTCAAGCCCAGACGTCGTAGACGCACGACATCCACCAGGGCCAGCTGAGAACTCCGGTCTCTGCGAGGAAATTCGCTTGAAAAAGGTCCGCAGTCGGTTCCCGCTTACTACACTCTTGAATGGCGTTCCATCCAACTCTGACAGGAGGTACACATTCGGGTTCGGTTGCGCCAACACACGGTAAGGTCCCTGCCAGCGTGGCAAGAACTTCCTCTCCTTCGTCGTCATCCATTCGTTGGCCTTCAACAATACCAAGCTTCCCACATCATATGAGGTCTTTCGCAGCATCTTCGTTCGATCGTAGTACGTCTTGGCTTGTAGTCGGGAGTCATCAAGTGCAATGCCAGCAACTTCACGCATGCAAGTGCTCAACATTAATTGTCGAGATCGATAGGCAAGCAGCTCCTCGGTCGTCGTCACTGCATCCCAATCGAAGACAACCCAAGTATCATGCGCAACATCCACAGGTAAAGCACAAGTCTGCCCATATAGCAGTTCATATGGCGCATAACCGGTCGTGCGTTTGGCAGTGATCCTGTCAGCCCATAGAACAGAAGGCAAGTACCGTGGCCAATTCGCCCAATCTTGTGGCATCAGAAGATTCTTGGCCATCGCTCCTGTCAATACCGAGTGCCCTCGCTCCACCATACCATTCGTCGCGGGATGATATGCCGTAGTATATGACATATGCACACCATCCTTCTCCAAAGCTAGTCGCACGACGCTATGCCACAACTCTCCTCGATCGGCCACTATCTGTGCAGGTACGCCGAATCTGCAAATCACCGACTCGTACAGAAACTGGTATACCTCTGCAGTCTCCTTGGTCTTCAGCGCTTTTGCCTCGACCCATCCAGTAAAATCGTCACGCGCCACAGCCACATACTGGTAACCATCAGAACTCTGTGGCCACATCACCAGATCGACACCCACCCTAGAGAACAGTGATGATCCCAAGTTTGGATTCAATGGTACAGCACTCTCCCGCTTGTCAAACAGCTGACAGACCGGGCAGGTTTTTACCCAGTTGGCAGCATCTTTCAGCATGCTGGGCCAGTCGAATCGCTCCTGTAGCACTCGTTGTAAAGCCCGAATCCCTCGATGCCCTGCTGGATTTCCCTGATGCACTGCTGCTAGAATTCGACGCTGTTCGGCAGAATCCAGCACAACCCTGGCTGGCATATTGGTCTTGCGTCGTCGGAACAACAACCCTTGATGAAAAAAGTAGCGTTTAGCTTGCTCACGAATTCGACGCCGTCCTCGCGCATCCTCTGGTAAGTCTCCTGTAGATAAGAACTCGACTAGCAGGCGCCAATGGTCACTGGCGACTGCGTCCAAGTGGCTAGCCTGATACACTTGGTCTAATCCTAAATAGGCAAAAGTAGAACAGGCAACTCCAACTGAAACAGCATGCACTGCACTCCCATCATCAGTTCCCACATATTCGGCACGGCTTAATCCATCAGCTACTACATTCTTGTCCCCAGGTATATGGCGCACATCGAAGTCGAACATGAGTAGGTAAGCGATCCACCGAGTAGCGACATCTGAAGGGAGATCTGGCTTGGCAAGCATACCAAGTACTGGCTTGGCATCAGTCTCAAGGACGAACCGGGTCCCATAGAGATATCGCCGCAACCTTTTTACCATCATCATCAACCCATAAAGTTCCCGCTTGACCTGCGCATATCTTGTCTGTGGTCCCTTGAATGTGTAACTCTCATACCGGATAACGTAACGTTCTCCATTCTTGTCCACCTGCCCTAGCACTGCACCAACACCTATCGGACTTGCATCCACTGTCAGAATCAGAGGTCTGTCGGCGTCATCATACTCAGCTGGTCTCAAAATCGGCGATGTCATTAGGACCTGTCTCAGCGTGTCGAAAGCTGTTTGCTGCTCCTGACCCCATATAAATGGTTGCGACTTCCGTGTTAACAGGTATAGCGGCTCAGCAAGAAGAGCAAAATCGGAGACCCATGCATGGTAGAAAGCACAAGTAGCAATGAATCGGCGGACGCCTTGGACATCCTTGGGTGGCAACCAGTCACGTATTGCAGCAACATGGTCACCAGTGGGTAATCGACCCTCTGGTGTGCACAGATATCCCAGAACCTCAACCTGCTGCATACCAATGAATGTCTTTGCTCCGCTTACTGTCAGACCGGCTTCAGCGAGCTTACGAAACACACGGCACACATCGTCAGCATGTTGTCATACAGCATCACGCACTTCCCTTTGCTCAGCTATCGGCAGCGTGCCTCGTGGTCCCAGGATAATGCCGTCATCGATAAAGATCCGCACCAGGTGAGGAATATGCTCTCTCAGTATCGTGGTCATAATACGCTGGAAGTGACCCACAGAATTGCACCACCCCATGGGGAGCCGCGTCATCCGTAGTAGGCCCAGAGGGGTCTCAAGAGCCATCTTGTCACGATCCCGCAGATCGACTGGAATTTGGTCATATCCGCTGTACAAGTCGAATGTCGTCAATAGGGCGCGTCCACATACATCCTCGGCAATCTCGTCTCCAATCGGCAGTTTCCCAGCATTTCGGATAGTTACTTGATTCAGCGGCTGTAAATCCTGAATAAACCGCAGCTTAGACTTGTCCTTCTTGGCAATGACAAACCATCGGTTTGCATATGCACCTATGGCTGGCTCTAGTACTCCCGCATCTAGCTTTGTCTGGAGAAGTTCGACAACTCGCTCGTATAGCCCTTTGGCGACTGGGTATGCCCTGTACTGCCATGGCTTATGCTCCACAGTAGGAATCCGCACAGGTGGCTCAACGTCATCGACCAATAATCCCATCTCGCTATTGTTGAATGCAAACGCTGCTTGCACATCTGGTAACATTGTCCGAAACATATGGACCTCAGCCTGCGTTAGTGCTCCATCACCTATATGCATCTGATCCAATTTCTTGCTATCCAGCACGGTCCCAGGGCTCTTCGCTTTGGGCATATGTGAGCGACTTAGTTGCATCTCCTCAGGTAACTCGGCGTCGACTGGTCGAACCTTCTGCGCAACAGGTTTGTACTTGGCCCCAGCACATACTCGAAAAACGCGCTGTACTAGCTCTGCATGAGCAACTACTTCCTCATCTTCCCCAAGTTGAAATGACTGATGACTAAGCGGTCCAACAACGTCCTGGTCTAGAATCGGAAAGGCAGCGACTGCAGTCCCATCAGCTACGAAATAATGGCGTACTCCATCCAAGCAATCGACCTTGAAATCGGCGACATGTAGATATGGAAGTCCTAATAAAACCTTGAAACCCATGTCAGGATATGCATGTAGTGTGGTTCTCACCAGAGTATTACCAATACGAATTGGAACATCCTGTGCCTCCAAACTGGTATGCTTCTTTCCGCTGTTCACATCAAACATTGTGTGCACAATGCCCACAGTGGTCAGCGGCAGACCCACAGCCTTGGCCCAGTTGACATCGATCACATTGACTTCAGACCCAGGATCTGCGATGATCTCGACTCGTTGGTTGCCCACATTTCCCCACACAACAGCTGATCGCAGTGAAGAAACCCCATTGATGGCAATAAGCTCTAACTGCCTTGCATACTGGTCACGTTCGCGCTCTGTCATCTGCCTAGTTTTTGGCTCCGCCACCCTTGTGTACTCTATAGCCCGATTGACTTGGCTCAGAGTCCCCGTTGCTGCAGCTGCGCTGTTTGTATGCACAGAAATATGTCCACTATTGCCAGTTGCTGCCGCTGTCGCTGTCTCTGTTGCATTCCTTGCACTCTGACCATTCGCTGTTACCTCTGTTGCTGCTGTGGGAACATCTCGACGCTTCCGTACTATCGCCTTCTGCATAACGTCACGTGCCTCAGAGCTGATGCCAAGCAGGGTACCTAGCGGAATCTCTACTTTAGTACCTGCAAGCAACTTCCTCACATCATCCTTCTTCGCATCCATCTCGAAGTCAGAAGCAAGGTAGAACTGCGCCGGTGGTCTGCTCTGGGGCTCAGTCCTTGTATAGACTTCTCGCATCTCAGGACGATTCGCAACAATCGGGATAGGCCTAATAGTATCAGTAGATACATTGCCATCATTGTCACCCATCACCTGCTCTCTACCCTGCAGCCCATTGTTGCTGGTTCCTGAAACGCGTTCCTCGCTGTCAACAGAATCCCTTCTGTTTGCTCCTAAGCCGCTGGTCACATCAATAGCCGTAGTCACCTCAGGAGCACTAGTGGCAGCTGTAGTAGCTGCCTCCTCAGTACTGCCATTGCTTGCTGCTGCTGCACGAGTCGTGGGTGGTCTAGCATATGGCTGAGTGCGTCGTCCTCCAGTACTAGTAACTTCTGGTATCCCATGGGTATTCGTGCTGGGCCGCCCACGGCGAGCAGCCCATACAACTTTTCCCTCATCGTCATCATCCTCCTGATCCACTAATCTGCTCTGGTTGCGAATCAGTCTAGCAGTTGCCTGAGAGGCCTCATAGCGCTGCTTCACTAGTGCAATCATTCCGCCATTACGGTAGTTGGGATCTATCTCTAGGCCATCTGGCCAGCAGACAAGACGATCCTTAAGCACTACTTGGTTAGCACGTAAGGCAGTGGTCAGCTCTTGACACTGCCCCTTGTTGTGTGCTTCGCTAGCACAGAACACACAATAGGGACTACGATTCATAGCTGGAGAAACCGTAGTCTTCGGTGCCGCATTCCCTGTGGTCAATAGTAGCGCCAATTTCTCGAACTCCTTGGACAGTACATCCATAACCTCAGTCTTGGCACTATCGCTGCTCGCTGTTGCCTCCACTGATCTTTTGTCAAGAGTGGTATTGACAAAAGCATCAGAAGGCAACCCTGGTACTGCGTCGTCACCATTCACAGATGTTATAAGGTCACCGACCTCATATTCCGTCGACTTGTATTCATCGGCATACTTGTCCAGTGCATCTGCGAAGTCCACAAAGGTCTTGTTGGCATTGTAGATATGCAACACCTGCTCACGCCATCTCATAGGAAGTCTCTTGAAGAGATAGCGGCGCTTCATCCCATCTGTCAGCCCATCGATACGGCTCAACAGAGTGCGCATACGATAGATCTCAGCTGAGGGCGCAAGACGGTCAAAGGGCTGACTGAACTGCTCCTCAACACACTTCAGCAGATAATCACTGTCATCTCTCCCTAGGCTAAGTAGCTTGCGGATGCTCCTCTGGAGCAAATCCCACTTGATCTCCTGGCCCTTGAACTCAATGTAGAGGATCTTACGATCAGGCTCAGGCATTGCAGCAATCACACGACTACACAGGAGTGGCTCTGCAATAGCCCCATCTCGCAATAGAGTGCTGTACTCACTCAGAAGGTAGGCACCATTCTGACGGGTGAACTTTTCAGCATGCCAGTTGGGCAGTGATGCATAGCTGGGAATCCCCCCCCGTCGGGCTCCATTTGTCGTGTCTGCAGCGAGCAGCATTTCCTCCTGGTCGGAGGTGACTGCTCCCACAGAGGGTTGGGGGGCATTCGGGCTTGCTGTACCTGCCCCTCTCGGCGTACTCGGAGAAGTAGGCATCGTCATAATAGTGTTTGGAAATATAATAAATTGAGGTCACAAATATGGAAAGTCTGTTCAGCGGTCGTCGGTCGTTCTCTGTCTGTCGTCGATGATGTTTTCTCTGTCTGTCTACAATCCATACCTTTTATAGTAGGATATTACCCCGCTCAACACGGCGACGTCGACTACATTTGTCAGCGTCGGGCACTTATGCACAACCATGGAAGGTCGCGACATACATACCACCCATATATGGCGTATCGGGTGGCGCAGTAGCAACCAGTCGTTGTCGATCACTCGGGCATCAGATCATCGGGCAATTCGGGGGCTCGACTCGGAGCTTCAAGCCCAGACGTCGTAGACGCACGACAGTTGATTACTGCGAAGTTAAAATATCCATAAACATACGAGTGATCCTTCCATATCACTACTCTACTCTTTATCGTCATTTTCGGTGCTGTGAAGGCTGGGAATGCCCCTACAGACGCTCTTATCTATACTTATTTACGCAATGTCTTCATATCTACACGTATATACCATTTAGAACCTGTGGTTGGTGATCTGCATTCATGTCTGTTTCATGGTTTCGCTATCTCAAGCAGTACTGCAAACTGCTATATCATATATGTACACTTCCTGTTCAGAAATGTAAATACTATTTTTCTCCTACCATATCCTCGTTCAAGGCTGCCCACCTTGTCAGCGGTTATATGCGTGCTGTAAGTCTAGAGTGCACGGTGGGTGGTGTGGGGCGAGAAAGGTAAAGGCACAAGGTAAATAACGAAAAATACCTGATATGTGAATGTGTGTATTTTTCGTGCAGCGCGGATTCCGAATGAGTCGTAAAGCGGTGATACCTCAGTCCAGAAACGCGCTAGTAGTGTGAGCGTGATACCAACAGAAGGTGCCAGAGTCAAAGATTATATTGATATGTAAAGGCTGAAGAGAAAAGAAGAGAGAAAGGCGAGTGCAAAGGCTTTATACCCTCCTTCGGGTGGCACAGCCAAAAAGGAAATGAGAATAAAAGGAAAGAGGAAACAACGGGATGAAAAGCCATGTAGCTCACAGTAATCGGATCTTGAGATCCAAACACCCGCTGACCAAGGCAAATGGTGAGGCACTGTGTGACATCGCGATGATGACTCTCGCGCATTGGCATTTGAGGATATCCTATACCTATCGGAGAGATCTGACAAGCTACTTCCAACAGAGGCAGCCAGAGCTGATGCCTAGAAGAAGCAGCAAGCGCAGCAAGACCTGGCCCTGCCTCTCTTACTGATTCCCGAGAAATGATACAGCTCAAAAATAGGACAACAGTTGACTAGTATTCAGACGATTTCAGGAAAATGGCTAACTAGGCTGATGCCAGAGTCTTGGTAATGACACCCTTGGTGTTGTCAACAGCAAACATCTGCTGGGAAAACAGTGGGGACTGGTAGAACGACGAACAGTCAGTGACACCAAAAGCGCTGGCCTGAGACTCAAACTCGGCCTTTGACAGCTCGACAGTCTCAGGCAAGACGCCGTTATACTTGAGTGTATAGAAGGTCAGGCGCTCCTGCACCAGCTTGCCCAGCAGATAGTACAGCAGCTCAAAGTGGTCGCGACGGGTATAGAGGTACTTGCTGAACTTGCGCCGCAGCGAGCGCATCACCGACAATTTCTGTGCTGTGATAAAGCCTTCGAGAGCCACGCGGATGGCGACCTCGATATCGTCGGCGCGTACATAGTCACGCAGATGCATGCGCGCATGTGCCTCAGCAAGACGCACCATGGCCTCGATGTGACGCACGGTGATGGGCACGCTTCCGGTAGCCAACGACTCACGCCGCAGCTCGGCGTACAGGTGCGCGATCTTGTCAGAGTACCGGTCCGACATGCGTGGCTCGATATTCTCACGTGCGTACATAATGTACTTGCGCAGCAGATCCTGAGGGATCACGTCCTGAGCCAGATTCGCCTCATCGGCCATGACTTGGTCCTCGGTGGCAGTCTGGTTAAGCGGGTGAGAACGCGTGTGGCTCTGCACGACAAAGCGACCAAGCATCTCATCCTTGACAGGGTCGACCTCATCACGGACGACGCAGAGGACATCAAAACGCGAGATAATCGGCTCAGTCAGCTCAACATTCTGTGAGAACGGCAGCGCAGGACGGTAGCGACCGCCAATTGGGTTAGCTGCAGCCAGCACCGAGCAGCGTGCCTGCAGGGTAGTGACAATACCAGCCTTGGAGATAGAGATGCTCTGCTGCTCCATGGCCTCGTGGATCGAGGTACGGTCGGCGTCATTCATCTTGTCAAACTCATCAATCAGGCACACACCACGGTCGGCTAGCACCAGCGCACCGCCTTCAAGCGTCCACTCGCGTGTGACAGGATCCTTGCGTACGCTGGCAGTGAGACCAACGGCACTGGCACCTTGGCCAGTGGTAAAGACCGCACGGTGAGCTGTGCCCTCGATGTACTTCAGGAACTGTGACTTGGCAGTACCTGGGTCGCCAAGCAGGAGAACGTTGATGTCGCCACGGGTGCGAAGCTTGCCGCCAATGTCTTTGGGCACACCACCAAACAGCGACAGGGCCAGTGCAGTCTTGATGTGCTCGTGGCCGTAGATAGAGGGGGGCAATGGATTTGATAATCCGCTTGCCGACATTTTCATCGCGGGCCAGGCTGCGGATTGCACGCTTGTCTTCCTCTGTCAGACGCACGGCAGCAAACTCGTCGGCGCGCTTCGACACGTGGTTAGCCTCGATGATGGTGCTGAATACCGGGAATCCTTGGCGCGTGTTGAGCGAGGCATCGAACGTGTGGGAGTAGACGCCAGTGACCTCAATCTCCTCTCCAGGCTTGGCACAATCGATGAGGTCCCAGAGTAAGATGACCTCGCGGTGGCGCGGCAGACGACCAGGTGGGACCGAACCCGGAGTCTCTTGTAGGGTCAGGCGCTGGTAGTTACGGTAGACTGTCTGCTCCGAATTGAGCGTGAACGGACCGCGGGACTGGCACGTGGCGCACATGTTGATCTTGATCTCGGTAGTTGCGTCCTGGTAGAACGGGCCTAGCACAGCACCGCACTTGCCACAGTTGAACTTCACATACTTCAGCTGGGGGAACACACCAGTGCGGCGGCTCACCACGCCGCTGATGCGCACCAGGCAGTTGAGCTGCGACTGGCGTAGGTCGCGCAGCGAGCACGTTGTTGGCAGCTCAGCAATGCGCACGTGGATCTCAGACCGGATTCGTGCGTAGTCCGGGAACATGGTCCGGACAGCATCCATGGCCACATCGTCCATGATGGCCAGGATTTCGCGCGGAGCATTGGCCAAAAAGTAGGCGATCAGCGGCCGCGACTGGGCCAGGTGCGAGTACGTGACCTCGAGGCTCTCGGCGTTGGCAGCGCCCAGCTGTCGGATACGCTCACCATACACCGAAGCACCCTTGTCATCAACATACGACAGCAAGAAGTGGCGGAATTCGCGGGCAATCGTCTGGCGCGGGCCCGACTCGCTGACCCACGCAGCCACTGTGCGTCCCTTCATGTCCTTCAAGTCATCGAGCGTCAGCGCGCGCTCCTCGTCGCGCACCTCCATGGCCATATCAAGCAGGTGGGCATGCTTGCTCTCGAGTGCGCCTGCTCCGCGGCGCCGCGTACGCCCAAACCGCCGGGCGTCCTCCTCGTCCTCAAAGTCCTGCATGAATGCAAGCGGGATACGCGACTTGGGCTGGCCAACCCCCTCCTCAAAGTCACGCCGCCTCAGCCGTGCCTCGACGCGTGCCCTGGCCGCCGGGTCCATAGCCGCAAACTCGGTTTCGTCCAAAAGCTCCTCGTCATACTTGTCAAGCTCAGCGTTGTAGCGGTAGTCGCGCTCCATGCTTGGGCCGAATAGATCTTCTCCCTCCTCGTCTTCTTGCTCCAGTGCTAGCATTTCGCCCTCGTCGTGGATCTCCTCGTCCAGATCAACGTCGCCGAGCCGGTCAGGTAGGTCCCGCTCGAGCTCGTCTTCGTTATCATCCTCTTGTGTGAATCCGGGGAATGGCGAGAATGGTGGTGGGCTGGACGGTGGCAGTGCTGGGTCTTCAGCCATATGCACCGGCGAGCTGGAACCAAATAACAAGCCTCCACCGGGCGTCTGCGGGTACGCCTCGCGGTCCTCGTCGTCCGAGACCGGGTCTGCCGGGCGCTTACGGTTCTGGTCGTTAGACTACGTGCAGGCGACTGATGTTGTTAGTAGAAGCCGGGGGAGCTGGTGCTGAATCTGCGGCAGGCATCTGCATGCTGGCTTACCATTTTGTTTGTGGTTTAAGGAGAGGGTAAATGCGCTAAATGAAGAATGTTAAAGTTGGGCCAAGCACGAAAAGACGGCTGCTGGCCAGAAAAGCTCGGTGCAGATTTTATTGTCAACAAAGCCTACAAGTGATCACATCGCCAGGATTGGCGATTAAATCTAGCACGTCGCGTTCTTCTGCGGCGCAGCAGTGCAGACACCATGGCAACGTGAAAGAGGAAGAGTGTTTACATTTGTCGACATGGGATAGAGGGGAATAAGGTGAAGCGAAATAAAAAGTAGGTGAGGTGGTATGGGTGCGTGGAGATGCGGGCGAGGAAAGCGATCGTGGGCTCACACCCGGCCAAACACAGTCTTGCGCTTGTTGGCCATCTTGAAAGACTGCTGCTGCTGGATGTGGTGCTCGCACAGGAACCGTCCATTCAGGTTATAATAGACGTCACGCAGCGGGTCCTTGCACACGTCGCACGCAAAGCAGTGCGGGTGGAACCGGCCCTCATAGACCTGTGCACACGGGCCCTCGATCGGGTCGTGGCAGGCCGCACACAGCGACCCGTTGAGCCGGTGGTAGTCGAAGCGGCAGTACGGCATCTGCTCAAACACATAGAATGACTTGTCGGGGAACGGTTTCCGGCACTCTTGGCAGGTGAAGCACCGCCGGTGCCACCACGCATCTAGTGCATGGACCGAGTCCTTGGTTGATCCGCAGGGCTGCAAGCACGACTTGCACACAGGGCTGCTTTTGGCTGTGTCATGCTGGTGAGCGGCCTGAGGTTGTGCCTGATGTTGGTGATGGTGATGTGGATGGCTATGCTGTGTGTTGTTGCTGCTGCTGCTGTTGTTAGGAGCAGGCTTGGGAACAACTGGCTGGTACTTTGACAGGTCCGGCTGATTTTGCTGTTGATGGTTTTGCCGGCTGTGGCTGTGGCTATGGGTATGACGTGGCTGGTGGCGCTCACACAGATAGCTGACGGAGTCGCCATCACCGGGGACTTGGAACAGGCTGGGGTTGTTTGCATCCAGCAGCCTGTCGCACTCGGTGCATCGGAAGCACATGCGGTGGAATACGTGATTGCCCACGCAAACTGGGCTGCTGTTGCCAATCCTACCGCGGCATGCGAAGCACGCGGCGCCTGTGGACAGCGTGCTGCTGCTGCTACTGGTGCTAACCGTGCTATTGAGCCGCGTCTTGCGCGTATTCTGTGCCAGCACGCTGTCGTGTGTGGGCGACGCCGGTGAGTTCCGGAAGCTAGCCGTACTGCTTGCCATGCTGTCGCGGTCCGACTCCGTCCGCATCTCCACATTCAGAGCCTGCATTTCATCCATCAGGTCATCGAGCAGCAGGTCGAGCTTGTTGGTGCGGCCGCCGCTCTTGGCCGATAGTGACCCGGCCGAGTTGCCCCCAGACGCGCTCTTCGGCCCGCCAGTCAGCTTCCCGCTAGCTATCGCCCCGTGCGTGTCAAGCGCAGCCAGCGGACTGTTCGACTTTTTGCCAACAGCTGACAGTGGAATACCTCGACTAGCTGTGCCGCCGGGCTGTTTGTTGCGTGGCAAAGGGATGGGCGCGGGTTTGAGCGGCTGGGGCTGGTGCACTCTGGCGCTCGGTGCATGGTGGTGGGTTGGGCTGGTTGGAACCTCGTTCAGAAGCGACGACAGAATGTCGAACGAGCTCTGCATAGACGAATCCTGCGGCATAGCGTTTGGTGATCCAGGCGAATAAGTTGAAGAGGGAGCAGGAGCAGAGAGAGCCGATGGTCCGCCATCGGTCTGGACCGACCCTTTACGCGAAATGCGGATCTGGCTGTCGGCAGTAGGAGTTGGGAGTTTGTAGTTGGCACCGCCCTTCTTCTTCATTGACGACGGCGGCGATGCTGTCACAGGCAGTGTTGGGGGTTTTGTCTTTGGCACAATGCCCACGTCAATGCGCTTGTTTGTGGTGCTGTTGTCTGTCTGTGACCGCGACGCCTTCGTAACTGTGGGCAGGATACCGGTACCTTTCGAGCCACTGCTCTTATTGTGCACTGTAGACGGGAGGCTTGCACCACCAGCCTTGTTTTGCCACGGGATTGAGTCTGCTGGTGTTTTGTTCACGGGGCTCTTTGTCAACGGCACAGGTGTCTCGTTTGGGCTCTTGAAGCCTGGCCGGGAGTTTGACGGGGGGAGTGAGCTCAGCAGCTGCTCGCGTGCCTCCTCGAGCCGTGTTGAATTGCTCCGCGACATCTCAACACCAAAGTTAGCGGGGCGGCTGCGCGGAGACTGCACCTCTGACTGGGACCGCTGCAGCGACGCAACCTTTTCAGCAACACTACCTGAGATGTCTGGCCTGCTGGTTTTCGGTATGTTGAGTGACTTTGCTGCCTTTAGTCCAGGACTAATCCCATCTCCGCCAAACACCCCTTGCTGGGCAGGGGCTGGTGACCGTCTGTCAATGTCCTGATGATGATGGTGCTGTTGCTGTTGCTGCTTCTGTTGTTTCTGCTGCAACATCGGCATCGGCATCGGCGACTGTCTGCCCATCATCCCTTCGCTACTGTCGTACACGCCCATGCTACCGCCTTCACGTTGTGCGTCTGCTGAATAATTGCCCGCCGTGACCACAGGATCGCTGCTACCGCGCAGTCCTGCCATATACGCATCAATCGACGCCGTACTGCCGTTCATCTGCGAGTGCGGGTCGTGGTCAAAGAACCCCGAGTTGTTGTGTGCCGCACTCGTCGAGCCAGGCAGTATGCTTGCAAAATCAAAATCGTCAGGCGCATCCGGAGCCTCGGCGAGGAAGTTCAACGCCGGCTTGTATGCTGCTGGAAACGCCTTGCTTTCGACATCCTTGCGCGCCTGCGCCGACATCGCCGGTGTGCGCTGCGCGGGCATCTCGTCCAAATGCTCCAAGTGGTCGCGTGGGTTGATGCCGGGCCCGTCAAAAATCGTGCTCAGCCCCCGGCTGGCATATGCTGCTGGTAGCGAGGGCACTACGGGCTGCTGTGGGCACTGGTGCTGTCCGATCATCCGGATGTGCACGTCCTGGTTGCACTGCGCGCACTTCATCGTCGGAATCACTGTGCTGTCGCGCGGTCCGCGGCCCATTATGTGCGACATCGTCGTGTATGTGTGGTGAAATAAGGTATATGCGATGGAAAAATAAATCTATGAGACGATGCAAATAAGAGAAGGCTGTATGAGTGAGGGGAATGTGGAAGCGAATGCCATAGAAATGAGGTTTGGAGGGACGAAAAGACTGAAAGCAGGCAAAGAGGAACGCAGTAGACCCGGTTTCCTATTATTATTTCGTGGTTCCTTTTTTGTTCGGTCTTGTGCCAGGCAGAAAGAAAAATCAGCTGGGCAAGACTGGGGAAGGGCAAAAGCTCGCAAACGAGAGGCAAGGAGAGACAAAATAGTCCCAAAGGACAAAAGATTGGGGAGAAAGGAAAGCGAAGGTCGTCAATCCGTACACCGCGTGGTCAGACTGGGACAGAAAACGACAAGAGGTGCTCTGCGGTTGAATAAAAGACGTAAAAATTGGTATAATGCGTTTCTTTCTTCTGGTGGGATAGTGGTAGTGGTAGCGGGGTGGCAAGAACAACAGCCGGCAAAGGTGGCGCTGCAGCTTGCTGTGGGAAATAATGCGACTAGACCGTCAGCATACAGCGGCTCAGACATGTGGTCCGCCTCGCGGTCCAGCCAGAGATAACCCTGTAGGCTGAGCGGGATCCAAGAAAAAGAGCAAGCGTAGAATGGCCCGAGTCACCAGCAACATCAGTGTCAATAGCAATCGCCCATTGCCCATTGCCCATCGATAGTCGACGGTCGAGAAGCAGAAACCCCGTTCTCGGCCAAAAACAAATAAATTGAACCTTTTTTCGCAAAACAAATTAGGAAGCGGTCCCGCCAGTCCCCACCACCACATCCTAGAAAAAGCAATCATATCCAGGATCTGAGCGCTTCAGAGAGGCCACCAAAATAAAAATAGCTCAAAAACAAACACACACAAAGCACAGCACAAGCGAAGCAGATGCAGTCCAGCTTGGAAAGCAAAGCCTCGGTATATGCGGCAGGGGAATGGGAGATGAGGCAGCGATGAGGTAATGGCAAGGAGGAGGAGAGAGAAAGGGAAAGAGACTGCCGCGTGGCAGGGCGCCAGGCAGCAGCAGCCTTTAATGCGCTTGCATCTGGCTGAGGCGGGCGGCAGACGAATGGGGCGTGAATTCCGAATAGCTGCCAAGAGCGCCGTTGGAGAACTGCACGTAATCCACGATTACAGGCAAGCCTCTCTCCACACCCTGCCTCACAGCTGGTCGTTTTGTCAGGGCCAGCAGTAAACAAAAACAAGGTCGTAGCGGAGATGGGCCCAGCAATGGTGTTTGCGCCATCTGTGGAGGGGCCCATGTTTGCTTTGGCCAGGGGCACAAGTGCGATGCTGGCTCACGAGCAGCACATCCCTGCCTTGCGCTGCCGTGAAACCACGCCAGCAAGCTGGTACGCATGCTGGTGTGGGAAGGGGTGAGAGAACGCAGTGGATATACTTACACAATACTAAGGTTCAGGAGGACAGATCACTGTTGTGTGTGGTCGCGTTCAGAGAGCAGACGAGCAATATCCAGGTGGTATCGCTCTTTTACGTCTTTTTTCGGCGGGTAAGGCAGCTGCCAAGAGGAGAACGACACCTGAAAGATATGAATAGAATGGCAATGAATAAATATAGACGATAATAAACTAGCGTGCAAAGAAAAGAACGAAATATGCCCAGGGCAGCAGAAACGGGAAAAGAAAGCAGGCTCATCTTGTAGTTTCTCGGATGGAATTGAACGCTGCGTTTTGCCTTGTGTCCTTCGCCTAATGCTTGCTGGCATTGGATTTGCCTAGAAAAATGGATGAAAATATTGGACGTCTTGTCGCTGCTACCGCCAGGCCTGCCTGCCGATCCCCCGACCAGCCTGCTCGGGTGCTTGATTGTCAACAACCATCTTTTCCGTTCTCCACTCAGCCCTGGTTTGCAGGCAATATGCAAAGCTATGTGCAGCTGAGGTTATCACATTGGAAAATGAGGGACCGGGTTGGCTGTGCTGACGCGTGTGGATCGTCGCCCATCTGCAAAAGCGCTGGCTTCTTGTACTGTTTAATTGACCGGGCTCGCAGAGCAGGACAATCTGTTCCCGTTTCATAAAAACTACGGGCCAGCCTACACTTCCAGGCACTCGTTTTTATCTTTTGCTCTTTCTTTATACCTGCCCGCATCTCTCGTCAAAAGCGAGAGAGAAAAGGAAGAGGAAGGGGTGTAGCAATGCTGAATGCAGCCGTCGCTTGCATTCCACCTTGCTGTTTTGGGCAAGAGCATGTGGAGGCACATTGCAGCATGTTTCCCACCTTACAGCTTGGCTGCAGCTATACATCCGCTTCAAGCAGCCATCCATTCTTCAACAGGCCATCGAGCGCGAGGCCTTGCCTGTTAATGTAAGCAGCGGGTTATTTGCTCTAGCTGAGGAGCAGACTGTGTTGTTGGCCAGGTGTACCACGCGGGAATCCTGCATGTCCTACCATCCCCCTTCGTTCCTCCGAACCACCACATCACATGCTGGCGCACTACAGTCGTGCATATATTTCTCCACAGGCTAATATGTAAAAGCTTGCATTGAATCAAATCAGCGGTCAGAATCTATATTGCTTCACCGCAGACGGGCCTTGGTCTCCAAAAACTCCTTGGCTTCGTTAATCTTGGTGGCCATGTATGGCGAGCCGCCGCGATCCGGGTGGTTGAGCAGCATGATGGTGCGGTGGGCCCGCTTGACCTTGTCTTTGGTCAGCGACGACTCCTTCAGGCCCAGGATCAGCGCCGCCTCGCGCTTGCTCATCTTGGGGTCAAACCCGCCCTTGACAAACTGCTTGGGCACCGAGGTCACGCCCTTCAGCGCTGGTCCGCCCGACGCCCTGCCCTTGGAGAGCACTTTGAGCATAATCCCGCAAGCGGCAGCGCCAGCGAGGCCGCAGCCGATCATGACCGGTGTGTTGAACTGCTGTTTGTCCGAGTGTCCCGAAATTGCGCTCATTTTGTGGAGTGAGAACTGTGAGAAAGTATGTTGAATTGAGGCAAGAAAGCAGCGACAAGTAGGTTTGCATGCCCAAGATTAGAGTAAGTGTCGCGAGCCGAAGCGAAAAATGGTTGGAATCGAGCTGGTCCGAGCTGTGAGCCGCGTGGCCCGAGGTACAAGCATGCTTTTGCCAGAAACATCGCAGGAGCAGCAGCAGGCTCGGTGTTGCGCTTCTTGCACACACACCCGGCTTTTTCCCCCATTCCCCAGACTTTCCAAGCACCATGACCAGGAAGAAGAGGAGCAGCGCAGAGGGCGCAGCTGGCCACGGCACAGCGAATAAGCGCCTGAAGCTTGTAACGGGAAGGGCAGACCGGCGAGGGCATCCGCAGGAGAAGTCTGCCAGAAAAGAATCTGCAGCCGGGCCGCTGGCGCCCAAGCTGCGTAAATATTGGAACCAGCGATTCGACTACTTCTCGCGCTTCGACGAGGGCATCCAGATCGACAACGAGGGCTGGTACTCTGTGACGCCAGAGGCAATTGCCGAGCACACGGCGCGGCGCATCTCGCAGCTCTACAACAGCCGCAGCCAGGACGAGGACTTTGGGCGTATCTGCGTCGTTGATGCGTTCTGTGGCGTGGGTGGCAACGCAATAAAGTTTGCCGAGTGGTGCGAGCATGTCATTGCCATCGATGTTGATCCAGGCAGGCTGCAGATGGCCAAGAACAACGCAGCGGTGTACGGCGTGGCTGACCGCATCGAGTTCATCCTGGGCGACTTTTACGAGCTGGCGCCGTCGCTGAAGGCCGACGTGGTGTTTCTGAGTCCGCCGTGGGGAGGGCCCGAGTACCAGAGCACGAAGGTGTTTGATCTGGATGCGCTGCCAGTCAAGACAGGGCAGCAGTGGGTGGATCGGGCCCGGCTGATCTCGGATAATGTGGTGTGCTTTTTGCCGCGCAACTGCAGGCCAGAGGACCTGGCTGCTCTGGCACCGGCGCTGCCGTGCGATATCGAGATGAACCGGATAAACGGGTTTCTCAAGGCCGTCTCGGTGTACTTTGGCCAGCTGGCGACCTTTGGCAGCATCGATCCGCGCCCGGCCGACTTTTAAACCCAAAAGTCCCGCAGGCGTGATTGACCAGCATACAAGCAGGGGCGTGGGTGTGTCGCGACCCTATTTAAAGGTCACGAGCTTCGTCTACTCGCCCAGGCACTAATCAATTGATAGGGACAGTTGATATTATTAAACAAGAAGAGATGATTCCTCCCGGGTCACTCCTGGAGTGATCCGGTGTCTATTTTATAGCCTTAACTATGTGGCCTCGCCTAGGGTGATGAATCAGTCTCATCATCTGTGATCGGCTGAGTCGCATAAGCATTGGCTTTGAGTGACTGTGGTGTGATCACCACATCATCCTCCTCTTTAAGAAGGGGTAGCCCTTTCCTGGTAACCATGGTCTTGGGTGGCATCGCTGTGGTCCACATGCTCAAACGATCATGGTGCACCAGTTCCGCAACTCGGCGTCCTTGTGGCGTCACAAGCTTATATGTGTTGAACGGAGCACGTTCCCACACCATATACGGGCCGAGCCATGGAGGGTCCAACTTCTTCTTGGCCATATTCTTCACCTTGACCCAATGTCCAACGTCATAGGGTTTCCCCGTTTTTGTCGCCTTAGAATAAACCTCATTCATTCTGTGTGCGGCGGCAAATTGACGTTCGCGAGCGATATGGCGGGTCGAATTGACCTTGCTCAAGCGGAGGACTTCTTGGGCATAGACATCACGGTTGTCCTTGTTGTTCCAAGAGACCGGTGGCATACTATCCAGTGGTAGCCTTGGTTCTTTTCCGAACAACATGAAGAACGGGGACAACTTTGTCACAGCATGCATTCGAACTCTTGTTGCCCACACCGCCTGGGGTAGATATTGGAGGCCATTCACAAATAAGAAAGTTTAAAGAAACTTAATATCTTGTATCAGAATAACCAAGTATTAAATAACAAATCAATTACTAGTAGTTGAAAAATATTTTAAAAATCAGAATGTTTAGTGATGGCCAAAAAGATTTTAGCAACTAGATTAACTAATAAATAAAAATATAAGAACAGACGCTTCTCCGAAACCCCCTTCGGCATCCTGAAAAATTTCAGTTGATTTCAATTAATGATGACCTCTAGCCTGAGATATCCAGCTGGGTCACATTAATGGTATCAACTGAAATTTTTCAGGATGCCGAAGGGGGTTTCGGAGAAGTTCAAAAAAAAACAAAAGAACAAAAAGTTTTACAATTTCTAATTATTTTTTACTTAGTTTAGTGATTGTGAATGACCTCCTAGTGATTGTGAATAACCTCCAAATGCTGCCATTTTAAAACATCATGTTCTAGTCATCAAGTCGTTATCATACCTATTTATAACTATTTTTCTAATACCAAGCAATCATATATATCATCAATTTTAAAAAGAATCAAATTATGCCATTTTAAAAAATCATAATAAATTCATCAAGTTGTTAGAATCCCATCTGTAATTAATAGATATGCACCAAGCAATCATATATGTCATCAATTTTAGAAAGCATCAAACTGTGCTATTTTAAAACATCAAATATACAAGTTACATAAGAATATGCTTAATACAGTAAATGTTCTTAGAAGAGTTGATGATAATATATCTATTGTTCTAAATCCTGAGAAATTACTTCTGGTCTATATATCCTATATCTAAGCAATATCACACTTTTGATAAGATGTGATTAGTTTACTATTAACAGATGCATATTAGTTAGATAGACAGAAAGTACTCAAATAAGCAAATAATATGATTTGTCTATAAGAAATGTCTGAGGTGTAGTTTCTATAGGTGAACAAAAGATCAATGCACTAACAACAGTGATTGAAGATGCCATACTAGATGAAATAAGGGCAATAATTATATGAGAATCTAGATCTTAAGCCTTTAGTAAAGAGTTGCTCATATTGTTCTCTATTTTAGTAATGGTTTTGTAGTTATATATTATGCACTCTGTATATTCAGAGGACATTCCTACTACTATTTAGATATTCATATTAATAGGAGAGATATACAGCCAACTCATATTTAGATACCAGATGATAGTTCTTTTAGGAAAAGCAATTACTCTATAGAAAGGAATAATACACCAACAAATATATCTAAGAGTTGTAAGTGAGGGCTACAGAATGGTCATAGTTATATAACTACCATTTTAAAACATATTATATGCTACCATCCACTCCATATATCTATGGGAATTTTGACACACTTCATATATATGTTCAACCTTTATCTCATAAAAAGTTCCACTAAGTTGGATCCAATTATGCACTTGGAATGCTAAGCCTAGCACTCATGTTAAAGTCATGGATAAGCACTAAAGTTAGCATATCTCTTTCTTCAGTACTCAGATCAGCTATATGTTTCTTAAGGAAATTATGGAATGATGGCATTTTCTAAAATTGATAATGAACCAGAGTTGTCTATCTTATCTTACCACCCATGAACAATCAATTATAAGAATTACAAGAGAAGGAGTAGAATGTGCATTAGATAATAAAGTTTTAAAAGTTCTAACTATCTTTTACAAATTTAGCAGTTGTGAATACCCTCCATATTGAACAATATTGATAAGAACTAGCTATTTTAAAATCAAGTAGCTAGCATCATATCTGTTGTTACCCCATATCTACAAAGCAGTCATAGTTGTCATCAATTTTAGATTGTAGAAATCTATTTTGTAGTTCAACCATTGATGCTTCAAACTCAACCTTTTGAGGTAAAGTATATGTTGGTTCCATTTGTGTTGATCTTTCATTGTGTGATTCAGGATAGTCAAAGTTTGTCATAACCCAGAGAGTATGATGATGTTCTACTTGCACATCACTGTTTGCTAGTATTTTCTTCATATTATATAATACACAGCACAGTTTCATTTGCACATTGTAAACATTCTTATTCTTTACTCGAACAATCTCCTTATTTGACAACCTTTTGAATGTTGTTCCTAGTTCTCCAAATGTGTTTTCTACCATTGAACGGAATGATCCAAGATGGGAATTGTACTCTACTTCTGCTTCTAGTAAGTTTACCCCTCTCTGCTTTCTAATTGGCAAACAAAAGTTATGCATTCCAAAGTCCTCCTGCTCTTCTTCTTCTGTCATCTCTTGAAGAACACTCTGTGGATAGCCACCATCAAGCACAATACAATCTATAGGGGATATCCTCTTTAATAATCCCATGTTTTTAATCATTCTTGAATCTGGATTATCTCTACAGTCTTCTGTTGGTGAAACAAGTAGAACCATTCCATTTATATCAATGCAAACTTGTGTACGATATCCTGATTTCTTCAACTTGAAGGAATAAAGTCCTGGTTTGTATGCTCCATTATGTAGTGCTCTTGAGTCATGGCCATCTAACATTAGTGTTACATGTTTAAACCCATGAGGATTCTGCATCTTTGCTGCAAGTAGTCGTAGCTCTGGAGTAGAAAACATTGTTTGCAGATAGAATGTCAGCTTCTTATTCAAATCTTGCATTTCTGAAATGTAGAACATATTGTGAATAACTTGATAGCTACTTCTTGGAAGGAATCTTTCCATTTCATTGATTGACAATCCTTCTACAAGTTGGTATAAGATAAGCAATCCTTTTTCTATACTTCTGTAAGGACATGGATAATGAGTGCAGCCAAACAAAACATTCAGAAAGAAGAAAACAGGAATCATCCCTAGATGTTTAAGAAGTGTATCTTTTATAAGTTTGATTTCTCTTACTTCACGAACTTCACTTCTGTGATATTTTGTATGCTTAAGAACTACCCAGTCATCATTCAGAAATTTCCACTTATTTGTGTAGAGCTTATGATATTCCTTTTCTCTGAGTTCTTGTAATTGATGATTCATCTGTGCGATGTACTAATAAATTTAAAAGTTGTCATTTATTATAATGGGCCCATTCTATAAGTTCTTCAACACTCAACTTTCTGAGCTAGATGAGGAAGAGAGAGAAAAGCTAGTCCAACTACTTAGCAGAAATTTCAATATGAGCAGAAAATTAACAGTGTACATCAGAGCATGGATTAAGAATGTTTCAGAAGATAGGGGTGTTAGTATTAAGCATGTGTTTGATGTATGCAACTACAGTTGTGCAGATATGGAAGTAATGGTTGCCAACTGCCCATTTTAAAACTAGATCCTCTCAGTATGGATAATACGATTATGAATTCTAGTTACTTTAAGCACCACTTCTTGATTTGGTTGGCCAATAACAGAAGCAATACATTCACCAAATGGACTACTTGCCAGTACTTTGATAAGTGTATGAGTGCTACTAACTATTTCATTGTGAATCATAGAAATATCTAGATAGTAGAAAGGTAATCCTCTAAAAGTATATAGGAAGTAATAACTAACTAAGAACTCATCACCAACATGAAGTATGTTGTAAGCAACTTTATATCTAGCTGGCTTGAGATCAGTATTTTCTCTTAAATATGTAGGTTCTAGATCATCAAGTTCAATATTGCTAATATCTGCAAGAAGGTCATCTATTCCTAAACCATCAGTATTATCACTAACAATTGAGAGAGTTGAAAGCCTAACTTTCTCTCTTGCTTGCTGAGCTGTTAACCAATCAATATGTATTCCACGATAGTTAATAAGTCCCATTTCAGCAAATGTATGTTGTTGTCTTTCTCTTGAAGCAACTGGCCAGAAGGAGTTTCTCTGACTAGGAACAATAGTGATGTTTGTGATATCTCTTCTCAGAACAACTTCAGATTCAAGAGGACCACTACTAGTAGCATATGTAAGAAGAACAGTTGGGTGTCCATTGAATGTAAGATTAGAAACAACAGTCATCATATCCTCATTCTTTTTCAACTTTTTAGCTATTCCTTGTTTCTTCTTAGTTGTTTTATTGAACCAATGGCAGTAACCAAGAGAATGTTCTTTATGGAAGTAAATACACAATGTATGTTTGTTATGAATCTGATCAACTAGTGCCATCCATTGCTTTTCATAAGATGTTGCAAATGTCCTGCAGTTATGAA